TTTAATGCTCATTTTGGACGTGCATAAAAACGATTGATAGAAATGTCATGATGCACATAACTTTTTAAAATATGCATAAAAAACGTGCATAACTGAATAGGATAAACTTTTATTCGATAGAAAATCTGCGCATAAACTACGATGGAAACACTTACTGAACAAATTACAGTATGTACATTAAAAAAAAGATCATGATCATATGATAATGAAAATGTGTGTAAATGGACAAACCAGCAGGCTGAGCACACTGCAACATGTCTTAAATATTGTGTTAGTCATTTTAAAATGCCTAAACTGTTTCAGTATTAGTGTATATTATTAATTGCCTCCGAACGTCTGGTGCGTGTCAAGAGTCTCCGCGTCTCATGGCTTCAGACGCCCCCACGTGTTCATTGTGTTTCAGCATTGTATTCTGACATCGAGGCGCAAGTACATTAATTAGGCTAAATAAAGAATTAATTGACGCAGCTTCTTCTACCACAGTAAATTCTGTTTTTACTGTTGATATTTGGTGCCAGTTTAATCAGAAAGTGACGATTTTTTTCTCTTTGACTCGTTGGATGGAATTTTATTCGCATCTTTTATGCAATATTCCAGTTTTGCACATAAATTTATGTAATATATTTGGATGGAAACATAGCTATTGCCTACATTTTAGTCACACACAGAAGAACTGTACTAGAATGGCTTATCCTTTTTTAAAAAATAATTAATTTAAATTCACCTTCGACATGCACTGTAACTAGATTAATGGGATTATTATTCTTTCTAAAAATTATTTTTAGTACTGCTTACCTTCTAAATGTTATATTAACCTCTATCACTTGATCAATAAAAAAGGCAGACACACAAGTGCATTGTTAAATCATTTAAAACTAATAAATGTATAAAAAAGTTTAGAAAAAAAATATGAACGTCACAAATTACATTACTTATTTTATTATACTTAAATATTTAAATACTTAAAAAGTGAAATTACGCATTAACTTGAGCAGCTGTTTTCCCACGCTAACTGTCTCCTCTTCACTGATGGTTGCTTCTTTTCAAATATATACGCTCATATTTGCTATAACTTTGCATGAGAACATCAAGTTCAGCTGGAGAAAGAAATGGTGATCTCTTTTATAAGATATTGCCATAGTCACTCGTAATGTTTGCGCTCCATTGATAATGCCTTTTTAAAGTCACGGTGTGCGCGCTTAACTCTGAGTTGGTCTACTCGAAGTTGATTGACCCAGCTCAGATCAGCTGTTCTGAAACCGAAAACTCTGAGTTTTTAATCTCTCGGTAAATCAACTCAGAGTTAAAGTTTAAACTCTGAGTTGTTTGAACCTCCTTACTGAAACAGGCCCCAGGATAACACGTTGTAATGTCACCTTACAGATAAACAAGACTCGGCAAACTGAAGGAGTGAATGTGTGGCGTAAATAGTGTGTGTTAATTAGTCTCTGAAAGTCCTCAGGTGTGAATAAAAATCAAGCTAAATGAGAAAGCAGGTGTGTGGGCGAAGAGCATGTATAAAGTTGTAGTCCAGGAAAAGTGTAGTTCTAAGTGTGTGTGTTTACCAGCGACATCTGGTGGTTGTTCGCTGGTGAACATGACACCACGGGCCTGTTTCAGAAAGGAGGTTAAGTGAAAACTCAGAGTATTTTAACCCTGAAATGAGAGAAACTCTGGGTTTTTCGTTTCAAAATGGCAGGTTTGTTAAACTCGAGAAATCAGGGTAAGTCAAGCCTGTTTCTGAAAAAAAGGTAACTTTAACTCAGAGTCAGTTACTGTGGTAACTTACTCTGTGAATCTAACCTGGTCAGAAGCAGGTTTTATTCTCTAAACTCAGAGTTTCTGTCGGTCTCCTCCCCTTTTTTTAAAGATGAAGCGGTATTTCTCGCCTTAGCCTTACGTTTCCACCCACCTATTTTTATGCTTATTTTGGATACGTGCATAAAAACTATTGATAGAAACGTCATGATGCACATAACTTTTTAAAATATGCATAAAAAACGCGCATAACTGAGTAGGATACACTTTTATTCGATAGAAAATTTGTGCATAAACTACGATGGAAACACTTTTACTGAACAAATTACAGCATGTACATTAAAAAAAGATCATGATCATAAGATAATGAAAATGTGTGTAAATGAACAAACCGGCAGGCTGAGCACACTGTAACACGTCTTAAATATTGTTTTAGTCATTCTAAAATGCCTTAACTGTTTCAGTATTAGTGTATATTATTAATTACCTCCGAACGTCTGGAGCGTGTCAAGAGTCTCCGCGTCTCATGGCTTCAGACGCCCCCACGTGTTCATTGTGTTTCAGCATTGTCTTCTGACATCGAGGCGCAAGTACATTAATTAGGCTAAATAAAGAATTAATTGACGCAGCTTCTTCTACCACAGTAAATTCTGCTTTTACTGTTGATATTTGGTGCCAGTTTAATCAGGAAGTGACGATTTTTTCTTTCTCTTTGACTCGTTGGATGGAATTTTATTCGCATCTTTTATGCAATATTCCAGTTTTGCACATAAATTTATGTAATATATTTGGATGGAAACACAGCTATTGCCTACATTTTAGTCACACACAGAAGAACTGTACTAGAATGGCTTATGCTTTTTTAATAAATAATTAAATTGAATTCACCTTCGATATGCACTGTAACTAGATTAATGGGATTATTATTCTTTCTAAAAATTATTTTTAGCACTGCTTACCTTCTAAATGTTATATTAACCTCTATCACTTGATCAATAAAAAAGGCAGACACACAAGTGCATTGTTAAATCATTTAAAACTAATAAATGTATAAAAAAGTTTAGAAAAAAAATATGAACGTCACAAATTACATTACTTATTTTATTATACTTAAATATTTAAATACTTAAAAAGTGAAATTAGGCATTAACTTGAGCAGCTGTTTTCCCACGCTAACTGTCTCTTCTTCACTGATGGTTGCTTCTTTTCAAATATATACGCTCATATTTGCTATAACTTTGCATGAGAACATCAAGTTCAGCTGGAGAAAGAAATGGTGATCTCTTTTATAAGATGTTGCCATAGTCACTCGTAATGTCTGCGCTCCATTGATAATGCCTTTTTAAAGTCACGGTGTGCGCGCTTAACTCTGAGTTGGTCTACTCAAAGTTGATTGACCCAACTCAGATCAGCTGTTCTGAAACCGAAAACTCAGAGTTTTTAATCTCTCGGTAAATCAACTCAGAGTTCAAGTTTAAACTCTGAGTTGTTTGAACCTCCTTACTGAAACAGGCCCCACGTCATATAAAAACATACACACTTGTTTGAGGACACAGAACACATTTTGAACTTGCAGTTTTTCCCAATGCGTCTGTAAAGTGCTGCGCAGCTGCAGACAGAAAAAAGGTCGCCTATTTCTGCTTTCACTCACCCTGAAAATGCTCTGTTTGCATGATTTGATTAATATCATCATATCCAAATACTTTATAAATAATATTTAAAACATTCTCCGCTGTTTATTGTTTTTAGAAAATATTTAAAATCTTTTTTTTTTCAGAGAGGCTTTTAAAAAATGAAAGTTTAATAAGGCTTTAAAACAGTTTGATATAGTACCTAATTGTTATAGCTAGCTTTTGTTAGTTTTATATTGGTTTATTTATTTAATGTGATTTTATTATATCTGATATTTGTAATTCTTTAAATTATTTCAATATGGCTTAGGCTATTTTATCTAGATATGACACTATTGTTTTGAGCCTACAAAAGTGGACACGAAATTTGTAAAGTTTAATGTCTTTCTGTTGTATTCATATAGTGTATTAACTCCAAAATAAATAAAAACAACAAAAAGAAAAGAAAAAAGCCGTACGGCATCAACAGAGTTGTGAAGGAAGAGCTCTTTTCCTTGGTCTCACACACATACAGGCATCTAAACTCGCACAAACACACCTTTTAAACTTGACAAAAACTCTCGAAAACCTTCACTGTCTGCTGTGTCTTTAATATGGTGTAAAGATTATTACGCGTTATTGAAACATCAAGGAGGACGCAGCAAAGAAAAGTCACTTATATAAATTAAAACTACTTTATTATTTTATGCAACAGCCTTACATTTAAAAGAGAAACATAAGGGCGATCATACGCAAAAAGACCCCAGCCTATTTGTTCCAGATGTTTTCTTTCCCTTGTTTATTTATTTATTTGTTTATGTGTTTGGCACATGTACTTGTGTGCGATCAGAAAATTGTGCCCGCCTCTCCTTTCACTCCGCCCCAAAGCCCCAGATGGCCCTCTTTGGCCCAAGGTATTTGGGGGGCCGAAAAAGGCCGGCCGCTGGCCCCAAGAAAGCCCTGATTTGGCTTGATTAGCCCCCGGAAGTGACAGTGGAAACGCGACTGGCCGTGGCTCGCTCGCTTTAGGCGCGATAGTGAAAACGCGGCTATTATCCTTAGACGCTGGCTAGATATTGAATTTTGATCACCTGACATCACAACCTAAAACTAACCTAATATTAACGTCTTATGACGTTGTGTGCTTGCTGGGCAATAACTCAATGCACTACAGAATTTTACGTTTACACACATTCACAAACTACAACGCATCAGTTTTTACCAGCGTAATACTCACTACTCTTGAGTACTTTTGAAAGGGCTACTTTTTACTCATACTTTGAGTAATATTCACAACATATAATTTTACTCTACTTGCACTTCATTTTTAGGCAAGTAATGGTACTTGAGTAGGATTTTTCAGTATCTTTCCACCACTGATGGAAACACAACTAGCTGACTTCTGTAGTAGTTTTTGTTCCAGCTATGGATGTCAACGGCTGCTTTTTTTCTTCAGAATGTCTTGTTTTGTGTTCAAAGGTTTGGCATTACTTCAGGGTGAGCAAATAAATATTTAGCTTTGTGTGAACTATCCCTTGAATGAAACGCTACAGTCCTGATGGTGGCGCTACTGCCGCGCATTTCTATCAACCGCAAGACACTGAAGCACAAAACAGGAAGCGGGAAGCAGCTGATAAACAGAAGACTTGAAGTTGTGTGACATCCGAGAGAGAACAGTGCTGCCGACAGGGAAACATTTACATGTCACATAGTAATAATTAATAACACACAGTTATATGAAATGAAGGGCGCGCTGGAGCTACAGCACAGGGTGAGCGCGCACCCGGACTCGCGCTGTTGGTACGTCGCGTGGAATCCCGCGGGCACGACGCTCGCGACCTGCGGCGGAGACCGTGCGATAAGAATATGGGGCAAAGAAGGTAAAACATAGCAAAATACATGTGTACAGCACACGTTTAAATCTATTTATTTAACCCTTCTGTTGTATTAGAATTATGTATACACGGTTCGCCCTTCACTAAACCCAAAACTGGTTTTATATTTAGACATTCGGACTTTCTCCTTAACTTAATAATATAAAGCTAATGATTATCAAAGTAAATCATTGTTTACAGTTAGATAAATAGTGTTAATGTTGTTTTTAAGCCATACTTGCATGTGATTTCAGACCGAATATACAAAGTACCATGATAAACATTATAGGAAGCATGTCACAAGTTGTCACTTAATGAATGGACGAATATAAAACCCAACTCTAACGTTATCTTAATTAAAATAAATCAGCTACATTTTATTTCAATCCTCAGATCTATTTTGCACAAAGAAACCATCTCATCTTCATCACAAACTCTGAATGTCTAGGTTTCCCTCAGGTTTCATTGTGGAGTATTTCACCAATGTTTAACTTAATCAGAGGCCATAGGTTTTGACTGAAGTACAGGCTTTATTTTCTAATGCTATTGTGTGTGAGTATTGTTTTTGTAGTGTAAAAATGGTTTTATAGTTGGTGTCAAAATTGAGCACAAGGACAACCGTTGTACCCTAATGTGTGAGCAATTCCAGCATTTTGGATGTGACAATTATTAGTTAAGCATAATTGCGCAGAGAAAGTATATGTAAACATATTAAAACATATTTATATTTTCTAAAACAACTACAGAGTTATGGGGTCAGAAAAATATTTGCCGGTATAAGATACTGGCGGTATGATAACCTTGGTTTCACGGTATTGTAATTACTGCTCTAAAAGTTATTTTTAAATGCCTGGGTAAAAAAACAACAAAATTTTCCTCCTTTGAATACAATATATTTTATTTTTTGAAAGATTTATAATATTTTGGAGCAGTAAACATGTCAGGCTAAATAATTGAAATTAATTATTGACTTCTGCTGTCTTCATTTGTTTCAAAAACACAGATTTCTTTACAATTTATACGGCATCTTTGGATATCTTTTCTGCTGGAGATGCTGTTGTCCTAAAAAACAAACAAAAAAGTAAATAAAAAATCGTGCACATACCTTAGGAACGGTATCTGCCGATCTGATGCAGTTAGGGAGTTCATTCCACCAACTGGGCAGATTGAATGCGAGAGTTCGGGAAAGTGATTTCTTCCCTCTTTGGGACGGAACCACAAGGCGACGTTCATTCATTGAACGCAAGTTTCTGGAGGGCACATAGATCTGCAGAAGTGAGAGCAGATGAGAAGGAGCAAAGCCAGAAGTCGCTTTGTAAGCAAACATCAGCTTTGAATTTGATGCGAGCAGCAACTGGCAGCCAGTGCAAACGGATGAGTAGCGGAGTGACGTGTTCTTTCAGGTTCATTAAAGACCACTCGTGCTGCTGCGTTCTGAAGCAGCTGAAGAGGTTTGATAGAGTTAGCTGGAAGCCATATATAAAATATATATAAAACAATTTTTTTAAATACTTTTATTGTTTCAGAAAAATGTGATACATAATGTATTAGTAACCAAATACCAATCAAAGAACACCCAACCCCATCCCGACAGAGACATAATATATATATATATATATATATATATATATATATATATATATATATATATATGTTACACATACAGTACATGCAAAAAATATTAATTAATAAATGAATAAAAGTAAAATAAACTAAAATAAGATAAAATAATAATAATAAAAAGGGCAATTTTGAAAAAAAAAGACATTAAGACAATGACAGTTCAACACACATACATTCCAATGAAAGTGAAAAAGATATTAAAGTTAGTCATAACAAACACAGTGCACATTAACACAGTCACATTGTTTGTGATTACTAAACGTTCAGGCCATTCTTACTTAAAAAATAAAGAAAGAAGTCCCAAATCTTGTAAAATATGTGCATTTTTTGTTTGACTGAGTAAGTCAGTCTTTGCATTGCTATACAAGAAGACATTTCCTCAATCCAGAGTGACAAAGATGGACCATGAATACTTCTCCAGTGAATGGCAGTCAGGCATTTCGTATGCAATAGACACAGATTTTAAAACTTCTGTTCATATGACTTCAGCGATAAGGCAGGTGGGAAAAGACCAAGAACACAGATTTAGGGCAAACAGGGATTTCTTTAACAATAGTTTTAGAGATTACATCTATTAGGTATTTCCAAAAGGATTGCAAGTGCTCGCATTGCCAAACACAATGGAATAGTGTACTCTTGTAAGTCAAACATAAAACACAAAACAATTTTGATAATATTAATTTTTATTATATTTAAAATTTGTAAAAGCTTATTGAGAGGGAAAACTTATAGATTTAAAGGAAAAGTAAATATTTCAAATGCAATTAGATAATTATTTTGGGGTCTCACTGTGTTTTTAATGTATTTGCTGTTCTGTTTTTGACAATTTTTTTACATTTTGCTCCATCATGATAACAAAATATTAATACAATTTTAAATAATATAAAATATGAACCCTTTACAGGGCACTCATTGAAATACTCATTGGAAAATCCTTGGTGTTACTGGTGGTAATTACAAGACTTTTGAAGTTTTAGGACTTTTATATAGTCTCTTTAAAACATTAATAGCATCCAGAAAAATAGAAAAAAAGCATTATTGCATTTTCAGCCTCTCGTTTGTTTTCATTCTCAGGGGACAGTTGGGAATGTAAGTGTGTCCTTTCTGATGGACACCAGCGCACAGTCAGAAAAGTAGCCTGGTCTCCCTGTGGGAAATACCTGGCTTCAGCCAGCTTTGATGCCACGACATGCATCTGGAAGAAGACGGATGAGGATTTTGAGGTGTGTGCTTGTATAAGCCTGATTTTTTTTCATTCTTTCAATTTTCTTTTTTTATTGCAGTATAACACAAGTGCAATAAGGAAAAAAATCTAATAAACATATCCACCAGAATGTACAATAATAGCACAAATTATTAAAAATAAATAAATAAATATAAATAAAAACAAAAACATTACAGCAAAAATAAACAAAAAAATCCAACAAAACTGAAAAAAAAAACTTTCATCAGTGTAAATTTTTTCAATAAACTGCAGTCTCCTTCCTGAATTAGATTTTATTTATCGTAAAGATCTACAGTATTACCAAAATTCCCTTTGGAAAACCAAAAACAATGGTTTTGTTGTAAGGCACTTGCATTGGATATAAAAATTTCTCCCAAATAAAATATTTTAAAAAAATAATGTAATATGTCATCGACCTCTAATAAATCAAAAATATCAAATATATATTATAAAAATAATAATATAACAAAAATATGAAATAGACATATTTAGAAAATTGGGAAGGCGGCTCCAGGGGTCTCATGTATCAAGGCTGCGTACACACAAAAACTTTGCGTACGGCAGGTTTTACGCTCGCGTTTGGATTTATTAACGATGAAATTAACGTGAGAATGTGCGTCGGTCCACGCCTACTTCATGCCTGGCGGACGCACATTTCTTGTGCGTGTCTGTTTTAATTCCATGGGAGACTCCTAGAGGCAGTAGTGTTAAATTGCACACCACGTCTTTGAGCCGTGTAATGGCAGCTGTATGAGAAGGGTTCATCCGCATGTCTAGCAGGTTTATAAGGTTTCCATACCATGCAGTTAACCAGCCAAACATTAAAGCGCAATTTGCAGCGGTCGCCTGTTTGCCCAATGTAATCGGAGCGATATACTGCACGCACATTGCTATAATGGTGCCATCTGAAGACGAATTTGTATACGTGAATCCGAAACATTTCCATTCAATAAATGTGCAAATAATATATGATGCACAAACTTATTAATGATTCTTACTTGTCTTCCTCGTGATGAAGAGTAGCCAAAATCAGATATGTAGCGGGGGAAAAAAAGAAGAACGTCTTCATCAGATGTGGGATTTGAACCAAGTTCATGCTTAAACGTGTCAAAACATGTTGCCATGCGTTTTACGAGCTACGCCACTCACGCAGTTAAAGAATCTACAACATTTTACACCTTTACATCATTCAGACCCAACTGTGTTAACCGCATCAGCTAAACTCTCCCACTCTAATTTTTTTCTTTTGTTATTAATTCCGGAGGACAAACTTGCAAATAACACCGTTTTTCCCCGGTCTAGCTCTGAAAGCAGCACCTCCAATTCGCATTCTGTTCAAAGTTTCTCTTCTTGCTTGCTTTTGCCATTACTTTTTTATTGGGTTTTGCCAAAGTATAGTAATAAGCATATTCATACGGGGGAGGAGGCAGGGAGGGGTTTTGCGCTCGTGCACATGCGCTCAGTTTCACGTTCATTCTGATGTACAAGGAGAATATGGGTGTGATTCGGTGTATGCAGTAAAAATTTCAGATGTATGAAACGCTGCGTCCAGTCGGTTTTAGACCATGCACCACAGCGCAAAGCGGATTTTTCCGCCCTTAAAATAGCAAAAGTGGATTCTGACACGCCCAGAATTAGGGGTGTCAAAATTAATTGTTTCTTCGGTGCACCGCGATGCAGATGCAGACAATTCGGTATCGGTTCAGTAATAATCATAACCGGTTATTATGTACTGACGTCATTTATCTCCTATGCGCTCTGTCGCGAGGGAGGTGAGCGCGAGTTTTTACAAACCTCAGCGCGGTTCAGTTGGTTTTGTTTTCGATATTCCTGACACACATTCAAGTATAGACGGCAATAACTCAAAAACCGCTTACCCTAAAAAGATCTAAAGTGTGTTTCCTACAAAAAGACAAAGCTGGTTATGTTTCACAGCTGTTTTTCTTTTTTTCGCTCAACATTACGAGCACTGCTCCGCTTAAGCCCTCGCAATATGTGTTTAGCCGGGAGAGCTCGTGCTGAGTAAGGGACCGTCGGAAAAGTGCTTCTTTTTTTTGTTTTTCTGCTCCGCTCAGCGTGAGCCCTCCCTGTTGTGAAGGCTTAAGTGTGTGTGTGTGTGTGTATGTGTGTGTGTGTTTGTTTCTTTGGTGCTGTCTATGTTTGTGTATGTGTTTGAATGACAGACAGTGTGGTGCTGTGTGTCTGTGTGTTTATACAGACAGCTTGTTATAGCCTCCCCCCTAAAATATAACACTGTATATGGAAAGCATCGTCAATGCACCGTGATGCACCGAGATATCGAATTGAACCGAATCGAAGGCATGATAATCGTAACCGAACCGTGAGACCAGTATAGGTTCACACCTCTACCCTGAATGCTTTTGCGCCCTGCGCTTTGCACTTTGCGCATGGATCATCAAAATAGAGCCCTAAAAGGCTAATTTTAGACTCTTAAAAAATCCAGAAAGTTGATCTGACATGTTTGTTATGTGTGTTTCCAGTGCCTGACGGTGTTAGAAGGTCATGAGAATGAGGTGAAATGTGTAGCTTGGGCTCCATCTGGAAGCTTACTGGCCACCTGCAGCAGAGACAAAAGCGTTTGGATTTGGGAAGGTACCTCAGAAATATGGAGAATACAGTGTCTTTCTGTAACACAAATACAAACCTTTATTAATTTTAAGTCTCACTGTGCTGATAAATGGTTCATAATGCGACTAGAAACAGTTCTTATTAAAGCTCCAGTGAAATTAAAGATTTTTTTATACATGGTAGTTTTAGTATGTTAGTTTTAAGGATATCTATAAGCTAGTGTGCTCCAAAACAGTGACAATATTTGTTTATGATGAATAAACACTGGTTTTGCCTATAATGTTTCATCTTAAAAGATTTTACCAGGATGATTTATCTGTGTTAAATGCTTCATTTTCCTTGTAGTGGATGAGGAGGACGAATACGAGTGTTTAAGTGTTGTGAATTCACACACGCAGGACGTAAAACATGTCGTCTGGCACCCGACGCAGGAGGTATAATATTCACACTCTTGATCAACATTATTCAATTCACCTTTATTTGTACAGCGCTTTTAATATGTAGATTTGGTCAAAGCAGCCTCACATAGAAGATTATAGTGAATTGAAACCGTGTAGTTTTAGTTTTCAATGTTAAAGTTCAGTTTAGCTCAGTTCAGTGTGGTTTAATTATCACTACTGAGAATCCAAACAGTGAAAAGCAAATCCATCAGTGCGCAGCTCTACAGATACCATGCAAGCTAGTGGCGACAGCAGCGAGGAAAAAAATTCACCAATTGTCAACACTGACCTGTGTTTTTTCTGATACTTTTGCAGCTTCTCGCATCAGCCAGTTACGACAACAAGATCTGTATTTATAAAGAGGAAGATGATGACTGGGAATGCAGAGCCACGCTAGAAGGACATGAATCCACTGTCTGGAGTTTGACCTTTGACCCTGAGGGACGGAGATTGGCTTCTTGTAGCGACGATCGAACCGTAAAGATCTGGAAAGAGTCGACAACTGGAGATGGTGAGGAGTTTTAGATACAGTTTTGCATAGTTAATCTTAAAGTCTCCGTGAAATCAAATCTAACCGTATTGATTTTGTTAGCTCACTTTGCTAGTTTTGTATAAATTCATTTGTGCATGTCATTAAAAAAAAAAAGTTTGCCCTTCTAATCTAAATTTAAAATCTGAAAATTCCCTTCCTGTTTGTTTTCGGTTAAATTCTTAGATTAGGCCTGTCTGAGGTTTTGGGTGTGGCTAACATACTTAACCACGCCCCTCCAGCTGTCAGTTTTGACAACAAACTGAATTGGTGAGGAGGATGAGTCTGTTGTAATAACTGTCTCCAAACCCTTTCCCCATCTTTCTTGTAATGTAATGTGTATTTATATAGCGCATTTATTGTGTATGGCCTACATCCAAAGCGCTTCACAATCATGAGGCGGGGGGGGGTCTCTCCACACCACCACCAGTGTGCAGCATTCACTTGGATGATGCGACGGCAGCCACAGGACAACAGCGCCAGTGCGCTCACTACACACCAGCTATTGGAGAAGCGGAGAGACAGTGATACAGCCAATTCAGTGGAAAGGGAAGATTGGGAGGCCATGATTGTAAGGGCAGATAGAGGGACTTTGGCCCGGACACCAGGGTTACACCCCTACTCTTTACGAGACGTGCCATGGGATTTTTAATGACCAAAGAGAGTCAGGGCCTCGGTTTAACGTCTCATCCGAAAGACGGCTCTCTGAATGAAATGCCGACTTCACTACATCCAATCAGCTCTCAGAAGAAAAACAAGCCACGCCCACTGATTTCTTATTTAATATTTCGTTTAGCCGCCTTTCCACTGCACACGACATTTGGACACGACTGTCAGAATACGCCCCCTTGTGGCAGTCGCACAGTATTTTCAGTGTTGTCATGCACCATTGGGAGAGGAGCTGTTCTGGCAGTGTCCGAAATAAAGGAGCGTGAAAGCAAGAACCTTTATTCTCTGTGCATTTACATGGTTTAATGAAGGAATGAATACTAGAAACTCAAAGACCGCTACAAATATTGGAGGGAATGTGGAGACAACATTAAAAAATTTATTTTTATTACTTTCTTACTTGCGTTTATGAACAGTTTTTTTTTTAATAGACTTTTTATGATTCAAAAAATAACCAAATAAAGTCCTGTTTCTCTTCTCGCGCGCTCTGACCAGCTTGTACAACACTGGAATACATCACATCCGGTCAGCCGGTCGCATCCGGTCAAGTCGACAATATAAATCTAAGAATTCTGCTTTTATGTTTCTGTTAGGTTCTTCGGATGAGTCCTGGAAGTGTATATGCACCTTGTCTGGATTCCATGGGAGAACAATATATGATATTGCATGGTAAGATGTGCAGTATATATAGGAGCAGAAATGGCTACAGGGTTTCTGTGGTTATCGAATTTGTATATACTGAATAATTAGCCGTCCTATATATATATTTTTTTTTCTAAATTTGTGTTTAATGGAAGGAATTAGTAAAAAAAAAAAAAAAAAAATTATATATATATATATATATATATATATATATATATATATATATATATATATATATATATATATATATATATACACACACCGTAAATACACCTAAATTGTCAAAACAAACTTTTTATTTTGGATGTGATTAATTTTTCCCGAGCACTAATTGTTTTACTTTGTGGTTCTCCCGATTTCAGGTGTCGTCTGACCGGTGCTTTAGCCACCGCATGTGGTGATGATGGAGTGCGTGTGTTCAGTGAAGACCCCACTGCTGACCCAGAGCAGCCCATCTTCGCCCTGTCAGCCCACGTGCCCAAAGCCCACAATCAGGACGTCAACTGCGTGTCCTGGAACCCGAAAGAAGCAGGACTTCTGGCCACATGCAGCGACAATGGAGAGTTCGCCATCTGGAAATACAACTCTGCCTGAGCCGGTGAATGACGCTCAAGTAGACCGAAAGCACTGAATCAGTGGTAGTTCACCCAAAAATGTGAGGTCTGTAATTTACTCACCCTTTACTTGGTCTTTATTCTCTTTCGTCTGTTGAACACAAAAGCAGATATTTTGATGAAAGCTTACAAAAACTGTAGCCCTTGACAACCATAATAGGAAAAACATATACTATGGAAGTCAATGGTTACAGGTTTTCAGCATTCTTCAAAATATCTTCTTTTGTGTTTAACGGAAGAAAGAATCTCAAACAGGTTTGGAATAAGTAAATGATGGCAGAATGCTAATTTTTGGGTGAACTTCCCCTGTAAACTGGTCATAATGTGGAACAATAGCTGTTTTATTCTCACTTTGAGTACTGCAATTGTGCGTTGATGACAGCACTGGTCAAAAAGACAATACACTTTTTATTAAAATCGAATTTATCTGTTAGACTTTTTGATGGGTCACAATTTCTTAACCATATTGATATACTTCAGTTTTGTCTGTAGCTTAAAATGCCTTCAGGGCTTTACTTAAATAAAGCCTGCTAAAGATCAAAAGCAGCTCCTTTTTCAAGTGAATTATCATTTTTAATGCTGTATATTTTGCTGACTTATGTACTTACATTGTCCCAAATGTTTTAAAGAATGTTCAAATCCAGAAAAATTATCAATTTTAACTAGTAAGACTGAGTGTGTGTGTTATGGCGAGTTCAGACTGCATGATTTTAGTTGCCGAAAAATGCCTGAAATCGCAGGTAAATCGGTGCTCTTTCACATGAGTGACAATCACACAGTGTGAACTATCAAGGGCGCAATATGAGAGAATTGCCGATGAGTCATCCGTGAGATATTTGGCATGCTTAATATCTGGCGCTGTCGGTAATTCAAATCATGCCGTGGGAAATGTGTTCTGATTGAAAATAACATTGGCGATCACCTTCAGCCAATGAGAGAGCAGCATCCACTAGTATGGGTAACCGCAGAGAGATTAAAGAGGTTTCAGAATAGCTGATCTGAGTTGGGTCAATCAACTTTGAGTAGATCAACTCAGAGTTAAGGCTGATTTATACTTCTGCGTCAAACACCGGCGTATGCTACGGCGCTGACGCATAGCCCTTCGCCGTGGACGTCGCCGTCACTGACGTGCACCTCTCAAAAAATGTAACTACACGTCGCAACAACGCGTAGCGCAAGCTCTGTGATTGGTCGGCTTGGTATCGCTGATGAGTCGACCGAGAGCCGTGTGAATGGCGCGAACCCAATGTAGCGATTGTTTACAAGTGTGGAGTCCCGTGAAGGAGCTCCAGATGGAAAGTTTTGTTTTGTGTTTACCTCATAGTTAAAGTTTCTGCACGTCCGCCAGTTCCTGCCTCAAAATGAGCGAGTTTGAACCACTTGTACATCCCGGAAGTGTTCAGGAAAAGCAAAACAACAGCGAAGAAACTCGACACAGAGGAACACTTACACCTCACTGCCCACTAGCGTTTCGGAAGTGTTAATGCAGACCAACAGAGACAGCGCACAGAAGTATAAATGCACAGCCACGCGCGTTGCATGCGCCGTGGGTTACGCCGGTCACTTGACGCAGAAGTATAAATCAGGCTTTAAGCGTGCGCACAGCAACTATATAAAAGCATTATCAATGCAGCGCAGATATTATGAGTGACCATGGCACATCTGAAAAACGTTCAGCATTTCTTTCTCCAGCTGAACTTAATGTGCTCATGCAAATTTAGAGCAAATATGAGCATATATTTTAAAAAGCAACACCACTGCATCAGTGAAAAAGAGACAGTTAGCATTGGAAAACAGGCTAGCTACTCAAGTTAATGCGTAAGATTACATTTAAAGTACTTAAATATTTATAATAAAATAAGTAATGTAATGCGTGACGTTTATTAACTTTTCACATGAAATAGTGGGAAATTGGACGTAATTTTGAAGTTATTTCAGATGTAATTGCATAAAATAGACTACTGCATAGTTTCTACAACAAATTTTACAAAACAAGAATGCAGATAACCTTAGCTCAGTGTTCAGTGGAAATGTTTAAATTAAACTAAATTAAATTAAATTCCCACTTTTACACACACTGATCAGTTTAAATAGATGTAAAAGTGCACTTGTGTGTCTGCCTTTATTATTGATCTGATGATAGAGGCTGATATGACATTTAGAATGTAAGCAGTACTAAAATATCGCTTTTAGAACGAGTAATAATCCCATTAATCTAGTCAGTGAATTTAATTATTGATTAAAAAAAAAAACAAGCCATTCTCGTGACTTTGTTTTTTGTGTGACAGAAATGTAGGCAACAGCTATGTTTCCATTCAATAATGCTAACTAGTCGGCCCAATAGCCTAGTGGTTAGTGCGCAGACATGTAGTGCAGTAACACGTCAGGGCGTCCTGAGTTCGAATCCTGGCTTGAGGACATTTCCCTACCCTCTCTCTCTCCACCTTCGCTTCCTGTCTCAATACTGTCCTATTTTTAAAAAAAAGGCTAAAAATAATAAATAATAATGCTAATTAAATGTATGTGCAAATCTGGAATATCGCATCAAAGACATGTGAATAAAGCAGCGTTTCCATCCAACGAGTCAAAGAGAACAAAATAGTCACTTCCTGATTATCTGGCTCCAATATCAAGAGTAAAAACAGAATTTACTGCGATAGAAGAAACCGCGTCAATCTTTTCTTTATTTAATAACTGATGCTGTTATTAATTACTTTCACCTCAGAGGTGGCGTTTGAAGCCATGAGACGCAAAGAACAGACGCAATTAACACGCTGCAGCTCGACGCTCCGGAGGTCATTAAATATATAATAACATTAATACTAAAACGGTTAGGGCGTTTTAAACTGACCAAAACAACATTTCAGATGAGTTACAGTGTGCTCTGCCTGCTGGTTTGTCCATTTACACACATTTTAATCATCATATGATCTCTTATAACAAACCTTTTTTTAATGCACATACTGGAATTTGTTCAGTAAAAATGTTTCCATCGTAGTTTATTTGCATCTTTTCTTATCGGATGAAAAGTTTAGTAGTTTTGCGCTTATGTTTTTTTATGCCTATTTTTAACATTTATGTGCATCTTGGCATTTCCATCAACAGATTTTTTCATGTGCATATCCAAAATGGGTGGGTGGAAACAAAAGGCTTAAGGCTGATTTATACTTCTGCGTCAAACACCGGCGTATGCTACCACGCTGACGCATAGCCCTTCGCCGTGGCCGTCACCGTCACTGACGTGCACCTCTCAAAAAATGTAACTACACGTCGCAACGACGCGTAGCGTAAGCTCTGTGATTGGTCGGCTTGGTAGCGCTGACGGGTCTGGGCGGGACCGAGAGCCGCACGAATGGCGCGAGCGATTGTTTACAAGTGTGGAGTCCCGTGAAGGAGCTCCGGATGGAAAGTTTTGTTTTGTGTTCACCTCATAGTTAAAGTTGTTGCACGTCCTCCGGTTCCTGCCTCAAAATGAGTGAGTTTGAGCCACTTGTACATCCCGGAAGTGTTCAGGAAAAGCAAAAAAGCAGAGAAGAAACTCGACACAGAGGAACACTTACACCTCACTGCCCACTAGCGTTTCGGAAGTGTAATGCAGACCGACAGAGACAGCGCGCAGAAGTATAAATGCACAGCCACGCGTGTTGCATGCGCCGTGGGTTACGCCGGTCATCTGATGCAGAAGTATAAATCAGGCTTTAGGCGAGAAATACCGCTTTGTCTATAAAAAAGGGAGGAGACCAATAGAAACTCAGAGTTTAGAGTATAAAACCTGCCCCTGACCAGGTTAGATTCACAAAGTAAGTTACCACGGTAACTGACTCTGAGTTAAAGTTACCTTTCTTTCAGAAACAAGCTCGACTTACCCTTCTTTCTTGAGGTTGACCAACCTGCCATTTTGAAACAGAAAACCTAAAGTTTCTCTCATTAGGGTTAACATACTCTGAGTTTTCACTTAACCTCCTTTCTGAAATGGGGCCTAGAACTCATCCCTGAGCAAATAAAAAAACAAGTATGGTAAACTGCAGGGAAATCTTTATTTAAATTATTTGAAGTTGCATTATAAATGTTCAAAACAAGTGTTTGGTCACTGGTTTGTGTGTGCTAATATATGAAAAAGAGGGCCGAACCATTTGTAAACCAATATAGAAGAACATCAGTGAGGTCCTTATGGAAATCCAGGCAGAGGTCATCAAATAACTGTCCATGTTGAGTGAAGGAAGATCAGAAACAACTCAAGTAACCAAACGCTAGCTGACCTTCTGATGTCCAATTCAACTGTATGTGTTTATTCAGGGCTTTCTGCCTTTTTTGCGAAGGGACTGTCCTTCCCCAGAGAACGCGATGAAGTTACTGACTGTTTCATCCTGGAGACACACACAAAAAGACATAATATTGTAAAAACAACAGCGATTGAGTCACTCACTTTGCAGAAAGATAAACAAGAGCATTTTTACTTCCATATTCAGAAGATATGATATACTTCAGTAAACTAAAAAACATTTTTTCTCATTAGTATGCGAGCACAATTGCTAATTAAATGAAATTGATTTTATACACCAGATCAACATCTACGTTCATACTAAGTGAGTTTTTTTATAAGGATTCCTGATTTTAATAAGGATGCTTGATATTGGAGGAAAAAAATGACATTGGGATATGTAGATTTCTATGATACGGTTTCACCAGACGACTTGATTAAAGCTTTTTTTGAAAATAATTCACCATTTTAGATTGAATGGGGTGATTTTGTAGGGCAGTATATTGACAACTGAAGTCAGATTTATGAGCCAAAATAAAACAAATAAGACTTTCTCCAGAGGAAAAAATATTATCAGACATACTGTGAAAATTTCCTTGCTCTGTTAAACATCATTTGGGAAAAATTTAAATAAGAAAAAAATTCAAAGGGGGACTAATAATTCTGACCTCAACTGTATATACAATAAAATAAACTAACTACAAGCATAAATACATTTATTTAAGCAAACTTTTGAGCAAAGATTAAATAAATGCATGAGCAAAAATAAATCACATCCAAAATACAAGTTTGTTATATATATATATATATATATATATATATATATATATATATATATATATATATATATATATATATATATATATATATATATATATATATATATATATATATATTAGGGATGTAACGGTATCAGAATTTCACGGTACGGTAATACCTCGGTATGAATGTCACGGTACGGTACGGTATTTATTGAATCATTTACAGGAAAAACAAAACTTATGAAAATACTCCAAAAAAGTGCCAAAAGTGTCAATGACATACAAATTAGCCATCTATCTGTAAGCTTTGAAACAGGAACTTCAATTTTAATAACAAAAAAATATTAAACCATGTAAAAAAATAAAGTTTCAATTTAGTATTGTTGAAAACTGATCACATTCAACATTTAATCACTCACTCACTTAGATAGAGATGGGTTTAAAGGAAAATTATCATATAACTATAATCTGGTAAAAGCTGGTATCTCTGTGTATTTACAATGTCCCCTGCAACAGAAAAAAAACCCTCTCATTTGGGACTGAGGTTTCTGGGACAAGAGAGATATGCCTTGGCCCAGGTTGACAGCAGTGGGTAACGTTGTGCATTGTCTTTCCCCCACTTGAGAGGACAAACCATGAGTAAGATAGAGGTCTCATGTCTGCATCAATCTGAACAGTGTGCTGACAACACAGCTGATAAGAACTCGTGCGACAACACCGCTATTCAGTACGCGCGCGACAACACCACTATTCAGCACGCGCGCCGCGACAACACCCGCATTAGAGTTTTCCAGCTCTTTTTCATCCCCGCTTCTTGCAGCACACTCCATTTCCGCATTACTGGATCTGTAGCGACAACAGACCGCAAGGGATGATGGTCAAGCATGGGCTGATGGGAATTGTAGTTTCCGGTACCTCCCATTCGCTTCATTCGCCTGAGCAAATTTTCTCAGAAGACCTATAGTTTTACCGAGTCATGCAACTTCGGTAATATCGAAAAAAATTAATATTGCGGTACGACGGTATTTACAATACCGTTACAACCCTAATATATATATATATATATATATATATATATATATATATATATAATATATATATATATCTCAACAGAAATTACTGTGATTGGCTGTGAAGGTCATCCGGGGTCTGTTCTTCGTAGATGGATTACTCAGTAAGCTGGATTTGGTTATTGAGGATTTGACATGATTCTGGATCGTTTAGTTCTTCAAAACTCATCTAAGAGTTGTTGTCATAGCAACAGTTCTGGTAGCTTAAATCTGGTCAGGACCAGGCTCATTCATTAAAAAAATTCAAGTTCAAAAATCTATATTAATAAAACGTATGCAATCTGGACTCCAAAATAAAAGTACTAAGACTGCCACCTTGTGGTAGAAAATGTATTGATATGAACTTTTTAGACACAAACGTGTACATTCACAATATTCAACTTTTTTTTTTTTAAAAGGATAATAATTTATGCAATCATGCACGTGTTTTGACTGCTAATACACCAGTGATTTGATGCTTCGCAAAAGCCGCAGACACCTTTAACGATATAAAAATGCTTTTTTGTTGCAAAATTAATTCATACAGTTATTCCTTACGTCGATTAAAAACACTTGAGTAGGCCTAGGCTACTATAATAAAGAAAATCTTCTCTAAATGTAGAACTAAATACATTAATATGCATTGAAATACATGATGAATACTAGGGTTGTCATAATTAATTGTTTCTTCGGTGCACCGCGATGCAGACGCGGACAATTCGGTATCGATTCAGTAATAATCATAACCGGGTATCATGTACTGACGTCATTTATCTCCTATGCGCTCTGTCGCGAGGGAGGTGAGTGCGAGTATTTACAACACTCAGCCAACTCAGGGCTGGCCCGTGGCATAGGCACCTTAGGCAAATGCTAAGGGCGCTGTATATCCAGGGGTGCGCCAGAAATGAGCGCGGTTCAGTTGGTTTTGTTTTCGATATTCTTGACACACATTCAGTTACAGACGGCAATAACTCAAAAACTCTTACCCTAAAAAGATCTAAAGTGTGTTTCCTACAAAAAGACAAAGCTGGTTATGTTTCACAGCTGTCTTTCTATTTTTCACTCGACATTACGAGCACTGCTCCGTTTAAGCCCTCGCAATATGTGTTTAGCCGGGAGAGCTCGCGCTGAGAAGAGCTCTCAGCAAGGGACCGTCGGAAAAGTGCTTCTTTTTTTCGTTTTTCTGCTCTGCTCTTCGCGAGCTCTCCCTGTTGCGAGGGCTTAAGTGTGTGTGTGTGCATGTGTGTTTGTTTCTTTGGTGCTGTCTATGTTTGTGTTTGAATGACAGACAGTGTGGTGCTGTGTGTCTGTGTGTTTATACAGACAGCTTGTTATAGCCTCCCCTCTAAAATATAACACTGTGTATGGAAAGCATCGTCAATGCACTGTGATGCACCCAGATATCGAATTGAACCGAAGCGAAGGCATGATAATCGTAACCGAACCGAACCGTGAGACCAGTATAGGTTCACACCTCTAATGAATACTCTTGACACATGAAAGTGTAAAGCCTGCCACTCACAACAAATGTGGAAAGTAATTTGTGCATCATATTTAAAAACCGTTTTTATGTCATTTTGCTCACATGGACAATTGAATATTAATCAGATGATGTCATTACGCTGCACGTCAGCCAATCGTTGCATTGCCGATCATGATTTCAGGAATCGATAGATCTGTCCACAACACACACAGCAATCTCAGATCAGTTCATCCAGACATTTTAATCTGATTCACGAACTTGTTTGAAGAACCAAATTAGCCAGAGATCAGTTATCAAGATGAACAGATCCAGGATCTGCCAAAACATTTGAGATCATTTAAACGGGGTACGAAGAACGGACCCCTGCTCACCGAACTCACTGCTGTTTACTGAGTGTAAATGCAGACACAGACACTGGAGCATTTCAAGGTCATGTTGATCAGCTGGTTTGTCTAATCTGACATACGAGCGATCCGCTGATGAATTGCGCCTGTAAAATGCTCCAGTGCCCCTGTATCTGTGGTTACTTGTAGTAAACAGTGGTGAGTTCTGTGAACTGATGACCTTCACAGCCAATCACAGTCATTTCTGTTGAGCATGTGAACACAATGGCAAATCAGAGATCGCACTCAACAGCGCTCAAAAGGTTAGCGGGAAATGGATGTTTTTAAATATTTTAGTATTGATTGGTACCAAATTCCACTACTATGACAACCCTGCAATATATTCAAGTTTACAGTACTCAAAGCATTTGGTTTCAAAACTGAAATGGTGTGCTGCAATTGGTATCCTCAAACAGTTTGAGTGAACTTATCGGGTTTTATGGTGCACTCACCAAGTCTGTTTTGCGGGGCTGTTGTCTGGCGTTACGGATGAAGGTGATCCTCCCGACTTTGAACTCATAGTTCGGAATTCCTCTATAAAAAGTAAACAAAAAAAAAATACTCTAAACATTAGCTTATTGTGAATGAGAAGTGGTCATTCAGCTAGACTGAGATATGTACCGTTTGATGTCACTGGGATCGAGGGGTGCTGGACTGGGCTCAATGCCTTTCTTCTTCCCGTCTAGACGATTCCCAGATCCTGTAAAGGCCTGTGGAAAAAAACAAAACAGAAAGACAACAAAATTACGGAGCGGACAAGCTTTATTAACAGTTTGTTAGGAAGATTAAGGTAGAAGTGATTTACTCTGAAACCGAGGTCCATGTCATAGTTACTAGGATCTGTTTCTTCTTCCTACATCAGAATGACAAACACAAGCATCCAGAAAAACACATGGAAATTACACTATTGAAATATATGTGACCCAGGAGCACTAAACCAGTCTTGTGTGGCACGGGCATATTTTTGGAAATAGCCAAAAACACACTTTATGAGTCAAAATTATGTTATTTTTTTGGCCAAATATTATTATAATATTAAGTACAAATCACATTCAAGATATTTAGTAAATTTCCAATTGTAAATATATCAAATTTTTATTCTGTATTAGTAATATGCATTGATAAGAACTTAATTTGGACATCTTTAAAGGCGATTTTCTCAATATTTAGAGTTTTTTTAAACACTCCAGATTTCCAATAGTTGTATTTCAGATAAAAACTGATCTAAGAAGCCATACATAAATGCAAAGCTTATTTATTCAGCTTTCAAGTGATGCATCTAAAAAAATGACTCTTATGCCTGGTGTTGTGGTCCAGCATAATGCGGTATATATTGTGATGAAACATATTGGTGTTTGTCAGGACATACTGCTGGTTCTTCTGGATGCTGCATGTGTCTCTCTGGTTCTTTGTATCCAAGAGGAGCATCAAAGTCCACCTGATGGACAAAAATTGTGAAAAACAAAAGGTAAGAAGCTCATCAAATCTACACTACACTGATTCACAAGTGTTTTCTGTTATTATACGGTTGTGAACTGCATTATGGGATGAGCAAGGACATTTTCACAGTATGTCTTATAATATTTTTTCTTTTAGAGAAAGTCTTATTTGTTTTTCTTTGGCTAGAATAAAAGCAGTTTTAATTTTTTAAAAGACATTTTAAGGACAAAATTAGCCCCTTCAAGCGATATTTTTTCTCGATAGCCTACAGAACAAACCATTTAAAATGTCACTTTAAGCTGTATAGAAGTGTCTTGAAAAATATCTAGTCAAATATTATTTACTGTCATCATGGCAAAGATAAAATAAATCAGTTATTAGAAATAGGTTTTTAAAACTTTTATGTTTAGAAATGTGTTGAAAAAAATCTTCTCTCCGTTAAACAGAAATTGGGGAAAAAATAAACAGGGGCGCTAATAATTCTCACTTCAACTGTACAACACCAACCCAGACTATATATCACTCTAAACTATTAAAAATGTTCATAAAAGTCACTTTTTCTAACTTTGCAAGTTTAAAAGTTGTTAAAAGAAAGATCAAGGTCACATAATGAAATTCAAATGCATTAATTCACATTTAAAAGAATATATATATATATATATATATATATATATATATATATATATATATATATATATATATATATATATATATATATATATATATATATGTGAATATTTTTACAGATATTTAATGTTTTTGAAGTCTCTTATGCTCACCAATGTTGCCTTTATTTTACTATATAGTATTATTAGACAGCAATATTAATAAATCAAATTCTCTGTGTGAATACATTTTAAAATGTAATTAATTCAGATGCAGAGCTGAATTTTGTCTTGTGAATCTTCAGAAATCATTTTAATTTTCTCCATTTTTATTAGTCTGAATGTACAGTTATGCTGCTTTATATTTTTTGTTGAAACATGATATTTTTTTCAGCATTCTTTGATGACTACAAAAACATTTTTTTTAAAGAAATACTTTATCATAAAATGTGTTTACTTTCACTTTTTAATCAAATGAATGCATGCTCGCTAAAAACATTTGATATTTAATTTTTAAGGACATGATCCGTAATCGTTATTTAATTACTATATGTTTCTTTATTTCACATTCTTCTGAGATATAAAAAATATAAAATATTTTTTAAGGTATTAAAATTATTATTATTATATCTCAGAAGAAGTGCCATAAAGTAATTACCGAGTGCAGATCAGTGTCTTTTGAATTATACGGTTTACAAGATTAATGCACCGCAAGAGCACAGAGCACACTTCACTTATGATATTTAATTCTTTAAAAAGATTGTAGTGTAAACGGCATGAATATTACATTCATAAGTTGCGCTACTGTGTATGAAATAAGCATGCCTACATTCATATCGCACTCGATGATGGACACAGCCTTGTCTGGTTTGGTCTCCATGACACGTAACTCATAGATCTGGAAGACAAGAATATCTGGTTAGCACTGCATGGTTTCAGCATGGTTTCTGCTAAATTGATCATTATACTGAAGAACAGACATAATATCACCTTTTCATTATAATTGATGGCGATCACATCTCCTGTAGTCAAACAGGCGAAATTCCTCAAAGCATTCTCTAATCTGAGATAAAAGCAGGTTCAGTTTTATATATTATATTAATGTAAAATAGTGTAAAAATAAATAAATATATACATTTTAAGACAAAATTATTAGCATTCCTATGAAATTATATATTCACATCAAGTGCTGTTTAAGAGATTTCTTTATCAACACATTTTAAAACATTAATTTCTTTAGTCTTTGCCATGCTGACAGTACATGATAGTTACTTTGCTAGTATTCAGCTTAAAGTGCTATTTAAAGGCTGCATTAATTAGGTTAATTTAGCTTAATTAGGCATCTCATTGAACAAAAGTAGTTTGTTCTTTAGCCAATCGAAAAATTCCAGGCAAACTAAAACAAATAAGAAAAATATAAAAGGAAATAATATGAAAAAAAAATTCTTGCTTTATTGAACATCACTTGAGAAAAAGCTATTAATTTCACAGGCTAATAATTGTGTCTTCAACTCTATCTGTGTGTTATACGAGCATACACAGCTTTAGGATTTGTGATATCCAGGAAGTCTGGGCTCTGTGGCTGGAATTTGGAGTATGTGGCGACCATGAGATTGACACTTTCCACTTGCACCAGACCGCCCTCTTCCAACAACAGGTTCTGCATCATCTGGAAACAAAATAAAATATGATGCACGGAGAATCCTGAAAAATAATTGGGCTTTTCACACTCCAGGTAACAGGTCATTTCTTTACCATTTGACTAAAACTTTCTGTCGTACACCACGCTTTTCCACTGAATGGTACAGTATGTTACGGATCACTTTTATAAGGCTTGCGTTTCCACTGCTAAAAGGATGCCAATGGTATTCGTTTGGTGTGTGTGGTGTACGACAGAAAGTTTCAGTCGACATCCTTTTCGCTCGAGAAAATGTCTACAGTAACGCTGTACAGGTTGTTAACATATCATATGAGAAGCACTTCTCACAAAACAAAGGCTTTATACACAAATACTTCTGTATAAATGTTTATTACTAAGTTTTCTATGAACATTGATGAAGATTTCCATTTACTAAACCTATACGAAGATACGTTTAATTGGGTGGGTGGAGGGCCCTTTGAATCTGCCATTATATGTCTTTGATAACAGGGGACAGGTTAAAGCAAAGGAGTCATAAGAGCATGAGAGAGGGCTTGGGGATACAATGAATACCATCTGTGTCAGAAAAGCATGAAAAGTATACAACATATGTTGAAACTGTCATGTATGTTTGAAAAGACACATACTGTATGGGAGAGTCCAGTTTGGATGTTTGAAACAGATACTATTCATGAGCACCAATTGTGAACTATATGTGTAAAAACAGTGATGAATACATCTGATCTTTACATTATGTGGGCCAACAAGAAGAAAGGGCTTAAAATTGGGGTCGTAAAGGAGTATGGGAGAGGCCTGTTGAACCAGTAAACAGCTGTGAAAACACAAAGGCGGGAAGAAGCAAGGGTAGAGCAAACTTGAGGAACATTAGATTGTCCTGGAGTGAGACTAAAGATGGGTCTGCTTATGGATGTCTCTGCTTTTTTGGAAAATGTTCCAATATTCTTCTGATATTCATAACCTCCAGACTGAGTTTGATTCCTTAAGAGAAAAGCTGAAAACCACAACAACATGAGTTGATTATAACTGCAGATCAATGATGGTGCTAAACAGTCTACTGTAAAGTCTGCAACTAAATGCAGCATATATGAACACATACAGCCCCTGACAGTCTCTGATATGTTACCAATTACAGAAAAACTACACACAGCAGACATTTAGGCCTTATTTGGGTTCAAAAACAAAAGGCGATGATAATAGTTAAACATGGATGTTTGTTAATGTTTAAGGTTGTTGAAAGAATTCTTTGTTCCATTGTTTTTCCAGCTTCTCTTTTTCCGGCTTTTCCATTTCTGAAAGGAATCAGAAATGTCAGAAGCACTTCAATAATCATGCGCACGTTATTATCATCAGCTTAAAAAGTTTGTTCTTTCAAATATAGACATGCAGCAAACGCACGTGAGAAAGCGAAACCGCACACGCTTCAGACTGCCTTGTAAACAACGACAGGGCACAGGGTATATTCTGCTGTTCTTGGCTTTGTGGTTGTTCATCAAGACAATAGCCCCTTTCACACATACAGACCTTTCCGGAAAAAGCTTGTATGTGTGAACAGGCCCTTTTTGAAAATACCGGTAAATTTGTTCTGGCTATTTTCCGGAAAGAGAAGTTGTAACATTACCGGCAATTTGCCGGAATGCTGCGCTGTGTGAACGCAAAAGGAAGATTCCCGTAATAAGCGCGTGCACGTCTAGAACGTGCTGACTTGAGATGTCTGCTTTAGCCAATTACAACAGTCAGACGCATTTACGTCCGCGCGGTTTGTGAGAATAAAAGCCTTTGAATATTTTTCCAGACACATTTAGCTGCTAGAAGTTAGTCAGATCACGTTTATATGTTCTTCTTTATGCCAACTGTGTAAATAATCATCTATGAGATGCTTATGATAAGCCGTTGTTTGTTTACCTTCAAGCTTTGCGTGTGCCTGTGAGCACACGCACATATTATGAACATCTCGACATGCGAAAGTGATCCTGCGAAAGTTGTTCACAATATTGATCATCCACAGAGTTTGTAATTAAGGCAAATGTTTACAAATACAAGCGCAGCCGTTTAAAGCTCATTTGTGGTGAATGATGTCAGAATTTACCGGTATTTTGGAATGGATGTGTGAATGCTCTTTTCCGGAAAATTTCCGTAACGTCCTCACCTGTGTGAACAGCGCCTTTTTGAATATACCGGTAAAGTCGTTCCGGAAATTTTCCAGATATTTACCGGTATCACTGTGTGAAAGGGGCTAATGACAAGGTTTGTTAAAGCTCGGGTCGACCATGGCTTGTTATTATATGTATATATTATAACAGTGTAATGTCTCGGCTGTGTATTTAAAACCGTACCGTACCACTCAGTGGAAAAGGGCCATTAATTAAATAGATTTTCCTCAGCAGTTATTATGTATACCATTTAAATACATTTTTATGAGCAAATATGTCATTATAAATACTTTTTGTATTTATTTACTGTATGTAAATACTTTGTGATCTATTTTTGAGCATCTTATAACATAGATATATACATTAGAAGTCGCCTAACCTGTTGTTGTCTATTGGAAGGAATGCGTCAATAGCGCCGCCATCTTGGTTCAGGGTAGCGCTCCTTTAAAACGAATGCGGGACCAAGGTACAGTGGAGGACTGTGGCCATCCAAAGCCAGAGATATACACATATACGCATATATCTATGATCGGGAGTTTTCCTGGATGTTAGTATGCAATTTTATATATTTTTTTTAATTATGAAAATTATAATTTTACATCACTTTTCTACATTGATGGATCAGTGACCGCACGGGCATTACTGACAAAAAGCTTGTGTTTGTGTGTACAGAAATGTACTATTCACCCTCCCTGTTAAATGTGATCTAATCATGTCCTGAAACACAGCTCCTCTCCTGCTTTCACTTCTCATACTGACGGAGGGAGCGATTCGTTTGTGAATGAATCTCCATTATGAACGACTCGTTCACTGAGCCGACAATAATACAAGTTTCTGGCAGCGCAGCATCTCGTTGTCATATTTCTTTTGCATTGTTTGCTGATTTTATTCAACAAAACTAGCATAAGCCGAGTATTTAGTGCGAGTTGGAGCTGCTTTGCCTGATGGTGAATGCAGTAAGTGACTGTTATCATCAATAACGATACCTGATTAGCACAAAAGTTCAGAACATACAAAAACAGAAAAAAAAATGTAATATTACCTATGAAATGTTTTGCCTTTATGCTTTGTTTTCTTTGTTTGCTCATTACTACACCTGTAGACAGCGCTAAAGTCCAGCATCTTCACGTAATAACACTGTCTTGACTAGTGCGGTTGAATGACATTTGTCCTGTGAGCACTGTACCAATGTGGCGGCGCTATAGACGCATGCTCAGGGTCCCTATGCGACATCTAGTGTATATATCTATGATCTTACAATACAAACCTAGAACCTTTAATTAAACAAGTAGCAGTGTTTTATACCCAATCATCAATGCTGATGCCACAATTATGCAAATAAGCAAATTAACCCAAGATTTAATTTAAAGTCTACATGAACCAGAAGCTGCGACTGTTTTTTTTTTTCAGATTGTGACAGTTCCCAGAGAAACAGAATATTAAATGAGAAAACAGTGGGCGTGGCTTGTTTTTTGACTGCGAGCTGATTGGATGTATTAAAGAAAACATTTCATTCAGAAAGATCAGGAAAAGGGTTTGGGAAGAGTTATTACAACCTAACAGACTCATCCTCCTCCTCACCATTTCTGTTTGTTGTCTAAACCGACAGCTGGATGGGGTGGTTAGGTATGTTAGCTACTCCTAATTCCTCAGACAGACCTAATCTAAGAATTTAACTAAAAAAAACAGAAAGTGCTTTTTTTTTATTTCAATTAAATGTTAAGGCTAATTTATACTTCTGCGTAAAACGCACGCGTATGCTAAGGCGTTGACGCATAGCCCTTCGCCGTGGCCGTCGGCGTCACTGACGTGCACCTCTCAAAAAATGTAACTACACGTCGCAACAACGCGTAGCGCAAGCTCTGTGATTGGTCAGCTTGGTAGCGCTGATGAGTCTGGGGGAGATCGAGAGCCGCGCGAATGGCGCGAGCCCAATGGAGCGATTGTTTACAAGTCTGGAGTCCCATGAAGGAAAGTTTTGTTTTGTGTTTAGCTCATAGTTAAAATTGCTGCACGTCCGCCGGTTCCTGCCTCAAAATGAGCGAGTTTGAGCCACTTGTACATCCAGGAAGTGTTCAGGAAAAGCAAAACAGCAGCGAAGAAACTCGACACAGAGGAACATTTACACCTCACTGCCAACTAGCGTTTCGGAAGTGTTAATGCAGACCAACAGAGACAGAGCGCAGAAGTATAAATGCACAGCTACGTGTGTTGCATGCGCCGATGGTTACGCCGGTCACTTGACGCAGAAGTATAAACCAGGCTTTACAAGGGCAAACATTTGGTTTTTTTAATGACATGCACAGATGAATTGTTGACCACAATACTACTAGCAATGCAAGCTATTAAAATCATATGATTTCATTTGTAGTTTAACTGAATTGTATTTAATTGAATTGGATTTATTTGAACTGAATCGAGGAATGTACATTGTAAAACATTAGCATGTGAATACTTAAAGGGCACCTAGGTTACCCCTTTTTTCAGATTTAATACAAGTCTTTTGCGTTTCTAGAATGTGTATATAAAGTTTCAGCTCAAAACACCCATCAGATTTTTCATTATACCTTTTACAAGATGCTGTTTTATACTAATATGACTTTAAGGCGAGTTCTCCCCGCCTACTGTTTCTACGTGCCTTCCCACGTGCTTTAATCTCATCCCCCGGCTGTGTCAGACAACAGACAGACTTAAAGGAATAAGGTCTCGCATAGCATTTGTGAGAAATACTACAGTAAGAACTTTACCAATGAGTGTTGTGCAGTTGCATTGATGAGTCACACGCAATATCGTTACAAAGTTCACGCGCACACACACAGATACACACGTACACCACAGCTGAAACACACTCATACACGCAGGCAGGCAGGCAGGCAGACAGAGCACGCTTAGCTTAGCACTGTTTTTGCACTCAAATGTGGCAGGATACAGGCTAATCTCCACTGCTGTGTGGATATCTGTTATGTTATTGTACACAATAAATCTGATTTAACGTCCACAAACCAGGATTGAAGCATCTTCCTTTATAATTGTTCTGACACATGGCTGTGGTGATGAAGTAAAGCTGAAGTAAATCGCTGTACTTCATTACACACGTGCACTGTTTTAAAACATTTTAAACATGTGAAACTCACTTATGATCCCATTTGATGATGATTGCTGATCCTAGCGAACAGAACAGGCCTTTTATTCCTGGTTGCCTTGCGTATGTCTGGTCTTGTTGACATATACACGTGACTACCGGGACATGTTAATGCGCGCAGCTGTCAATCAATTCGGTGGGCGAGGGGACCGCACTCCTACATAAAGTTGCGGTCGGTCTGAAAACCGCTCCAATTGGTCCACTGTTTTTATGTTGTTAAATTGAAAAAAAAAGGACTGGGTGTGTTTATATCACCCCAATACGATGGTCTATACACTATATATACACATATGTTTGTCCAAGTAGCTTGAAAAGTAGATTTTTCACCATAGGTGCCCTTTAATATAAATTATTAACCCTGTAAATAATGAGCAGTGTGAAACATGAAGCAAGAGAATCTAGTTTAGGATTATTGAGAGTTAACCAAACCCTAATGTGTCAAGTGCAGGATCTAATAACAGTGTGTATCGTGTGTGTGTGTATAGTTTATACCCAGTGCGGGAGGTAACAGAAGCCTTCATCTGCCACAAACTCCAGAACGCCACAGTGCGTCATTCTGTCCGAATTCTTGTTGGTGAGTTTGAACAGCATGGGGTACGTGATGTTTAGTCTGCCTAAAAACACAAGCCACATATGTAATCAATACACAGGACATGACAAAAATAGATGAATTCACTTTTATTGCAATGCATGCCACTTACTCAGCTGGTCCAAAGCAGACGGGGGCATAATAACTGCAAATACAACACGCATTAGTTCAGTGAAACATGAGGTTTATGAAACAAAACTGTTATACAGAGTTAAAGATCATCACATACTCTTTCCTCCTTTCTCCACATCTGAGCGGTCGTTGGGTCCCGCCAGCATGGAGACTGAATAACAGCGGTACTGTGTGGAGAAACGGTTCTGGAAAACTCGCCCCACATGGGGCTCAAACATGTTGAAGGAGAACTGATGAGGATGAAAACAGACATTAATAACAATCAAAACACAAACGTGAATCATTTCAAATGATTTTCTGTCAGATTTATTAGCTCCGCTGCTAAATTTTTATTATTTTATATTTTTCCCCCAAGTTCTGATATTTTCAACACATCTCTAGATATAATAGTTTTAATAACTTATTTCTAATAACTGATTTTTTTTTAACTTGATGGCAGTAAATACTATTTTACTAGATATTTTTAATAAACTGAATATATTGAGCTTAAATTTAAAGGCTTAACTAGGTTAATTAGGCAAGTCATGGTAATTAGGCAAGTTGGTGTATAACAGTGGTTTGTTTTGTAGCTAATTGGGAAAAAAAACTTTGCTTAAAAGGCTATAATATTGACCTTAAAATGGTAAAAAGTGATTTTATTCTAGCCAAAATAAAAGAAATAAGAGTTTGTCCAGTAGAAAAGAAAAATATGATGAGAAATACTGTGAACTTTTTCTTCCTCCATTAAACATCACTTGAGAAATATTTGAAATATAAATATTGGACAGGAGGGATAATAATTTTGCCCTCAACTATATATAGGTCAAAATAAGAAATATAGGCATCAAATTAAATGTACAAAAGCTATTTTATATACATAAAGCACCTTAACTGCATGTCTATCAAGTAACATTGCTGAAAATAATGTTAAAATATTAATGAAAGGACATTCAGAAAAAAACATACATTGATGTAAATAATAAATATGGTTACTCTGACTTCTACTTTACTAAAATATATAAAAGTCAATATACGTTTTTTGTTGCATTTTAAGTAATTAAATCTACTTGAGGTAACACCAAATCTTTTAATGTCATCAAATTATTCTTCTAAATATGTCTGACTAGATTTAATAAACAAATACCTAAGAGAAACATTTATTTATTTAGTTCTACTATTATTGCTTTAATAACTAGGTTACAACTAAAATCAATTTGGAATAAACTTCCTCACATTTCAATAACACAAACAAACAATTCTATAATATCTGCCACAGTGACAGTGCAGCTTTCCACTGCTTTTTAGCTTAGCATTAGCTAGCCTGTTTTGACTGTAACAAACAATAGAAAACCGAATGCTGAAATGCAAATGTAAAGGTAGTTCAGAATCGATTACTCACCATATTAGTTGTTTATCTGCCTGACAGCAGAAATTCAGCAATGATTGGAGTAATACTGATGATGACAACTCAATAACAAACAGTTTCCTTTCAGTGGGAAGTGCGCTACAGGCAGGATGTGACGCAACAAAACAACAAACCAAACGTTATCCAATCGCGTCTCTTTTTCAAGCTGAGGCTTCTTCACGCCTTTTACATGAACACTATTATAAATCTGTATTATATCTTTAAAATATTTATTTTAAGTTGTATACTATCGTCGTGCTTTTACTATACCATGCTACATCATACAACTTACCAGGCGCTCAGCACAGGGACGCAACAAAAGAACAAACCATCAGACCAAATATTGTCCAATTACGTCTCTTTTTTAAGCTGAGGCATTTTCTCGTCCTTTACATAACCACTAATATAAATCTATATTGTTATTCTTTTAAAATACATATTTTAAAATGTATTTTTTAAAAATCGACGTGCTTTTATTGTATTAAAACTTTTATTATGTTACAGCTTTACAAGCGCTCAGCTATGTATTTGATTGGACAGAAGATTCCCAGCCCTAACCCATGCCATTGGCTGATATGAGCACCTGTCACTTCAAGTCGCCATTCTATTGGTTATTTCTGCAAAGGCTGTTCCCTAAGTATACAACAAGAAAATTTGGCGCCAGAGACGAAACACGGAAACCCCGAGTTCAAAACAACAAGGACGGTGTTTTAAAACGCGAACATTCGCAGAAGTGAAAGTTTTATATATTTAAACTCGATAATCTTACAATTAAACATGTTTGTGACCGATATTCGAAAGGAGTTTTATGATGTTGTCGTTAATCAGGTACGTGATAATAGCTGTGTTTGCGTGAGTTCGGTTAACGTAATTCGTAACGTAAGTAACGTTAATTGGAATGGCATTTAAACTATTACATGTTGATTATTTAATGTTGTCTGAAATATACTCTTTATTTGGGTTATGCTATATGTTACTCATGTATTTTAACTGTTTAGTTTAAGTCACTTTATTATTGGTGACGTTTGTAATACACACTCGCAGTTAACGTTAGTCATAGTCTATGATTATTGGGATAAGTTAACGTTACAGTTGGTTTTATATTTGCACATTCGGACTTTCTCTTTAGTATTTTATTTTCAGAAAAGTATTCTAAATAGTTAAGTCATATTAGCAGAAAGTACATTGTTCGCAATCCGTTAAATAGTGCTAAGGTTGTTTTGAAGTCATAGTTGTATGCTATTTCTGACCGAATATTCAGAAATAATAAGTAAATTGGTAAACAATATATGAACTGTCACAAATCTCAAGAATAGTAATTTGTAGAAAATGTAATTAAAAAAAAAAATTTTTATTAACAAGAACCAGCATGTAGTTTTCTTATGCAACAAAATCACTTTACATTTCTTAACAATAATGGAATAAATGAGGGGAAAAAGAAATTAAAGAAAAAAGAAACGCAGAGAAAAGGGTTCATAATTATCAAATTACATACAAATATATGACATACATTTTCCAAATTTTAGTTATTAACAGGAGTTATTAAATTCACTTTTACTAGAGGAAATGTATATATAAGAACCTTTTTATGCAAAAATGTTAAAATAGGAGCATATATTAGTTGTTTTAATTGCTTTTTTATTTTTAGACTTCGAAATCACATTTATATACATTTGAATCTCTTTTGCTAGCACTATAAAGAGAGGTTTGCTTTTGGCAAACTTGGATTTATGTATGAGAAATGTACATAATTATAAAATAAAGTTTATAATAAAACCAGCATCTTTTAAAGACCGATCCTTAACATAATAACCCAAAATCATGTTTATAAGATGAGGAAAATGATTTTAAAATATTATGAGCAATAAAAGCTTTCATGTTAATCTAAAAATGTTGAGTATATTGGCTAGACCAGAATAAATATCAAATTGTTTCATTAAAGCTTTCACAAAAACAGCAATCTAACTCAATATCAATTTTACATTTTTATAGAAATAGTTTTTTAGGATAAACTCTGAATTAAAATTATATTTCTTTAGCCTTATTTGTAATAAAAAAATTGAGGTAATGACCATACTTGAGTCCATTTTCCATTAGGAATATTTAAAATTACAACGGATGATCAGAAGTAATCATCTGCAATCTGACCAAAAAAACAACTAAAAATTGTGTGTATAAAGACCACATCAATATAAAATATTTAGAATGTAAATCAAGTAGTTTTTATGGTACATTATTGCATTATATACACTATCCACTCGTTAAGTCATAACTAGGGAAGAATCTGCAGACATTTTTTGCCATTTCTGTGGAGAATTTAAAAAAAAAAAGCAGAATTATTTTGGAAGTGTTGTAACTAAAAACTTAATATGTAAAAGGAAATAATTCCTTTTTCTTAGCTTTTATTTAATGTTTTTAATGTAAATCCATCTTGATCCACTTCATTTGGTAAACAAAGCAAGTCTATCATATAATACATCTACTAAAAGAAAGAAAATATTACTTTACAAAACTGTATTGTAAATAAATCATATAAACATTTTCATATTAGTCAATAATATTACCGAATTTAATATAATTTCTGCGAGCACAGATTCCATGTGGGCCTTGAAATGCTGTCTTCTGGTTATTATTCAGGCACTGTTTCCAAATAATTAAGAAAATACTAGTTTGACCACTTTGTAATCACATCACACATTGAAGTGAATTTTATATAAAATCATGATGTACACGACAGTCTCTGGACTTGCTGCGTCACAGACACCAACATTTGAACAATTTAGTCACAAGTTGTCACTTAACGAATGTGTGAACATAAAACCAACTTTACTTCAATTTCATAATCTACTTTGTCTCAAACTTGTATATTTTCTGTGTTTGTTTTATATCTTTAGAGAGTGGCTTTGCTGGTGTCTTCTGATATTGATGCCTTGTGTGCCTGTAAAGTCCTGCAGGTTAGTTGCATCATACATATCATTTGTCAATAACAGTGACGATGAGTGCTACAACATAAGATAATATGCACAAAACACCACCAACAACCTTTGTTTTTGGAAAAAAATGGTAATATTTAGGGTAGATACTTGTGTTTATGTGGTACAAAGATTTTGTATTCTCTAGTCTAAAATTCAAATGTAGTGTTAGTGTATTAGTTCATGGAAGAAAACTGCATCAGTATGTTTATAGTTGTAAAAGCTGAGGAATCTCAAGAACAGTGATTGTAGATTATTTTAAATGACAAAGGATGATAATAAATAATCATCTACAATTTGAAATACTGCTAGAAATATTTGTTCATAAAGACCTGATTAATATAAAATGCAAATTACTAATTTAATGTCTAATGTAGTTTTTGTTACATTATATAATTTTTCATACTTATTATAGTTTTGCTCTGCTAATTAATTTTTTTCAAATATATTAAATCAAATTAAAACTTATTTTATTTAAACAATTCTTCTGTAAATATTAAGAACACATTTTACTCCTAAATGTAAATTTTTACACTGCTTTTCTTTAAATTGTCTAGAATACAGTGCGCAATGAACAGAATTTAAATTAAATACAAACAAGCGTTTCCAAAAGTGAAGTGAAGTATTTGTTTAAATGAAATATTTCCTCAAACTTTCACTGCATTTTTAGCCCATTTGTTTGTCTGTGTTAATTCTTTCCAGGCTTTATTTCACTGTGACCACGTCCAGTATACACTGGTTCCTGTGACGGGATGGCAGGATTTGGGAACCGCCTTTTTAGAGCACAAAGAACAGGTACCAATTTCTGGTCATTCACAAAAGCTGTCTGCCTCGCTATTTTTAAAGGGACAGTACACCCCAAAAAAAGAAACTTCTGTTATCATTTACTCGCCCTACCCAATTCTTTTTTTTCTGTTGATCACAAAGGAAGATATACTGAAGAAAGCTGAAAAAATAGCTATTGACTTCCATACAAATTTTTTGTTGATGTTGTTCCTACCATGGAAGTCAGTGGCTGTTTTCAGCATTCTTCAACATATAAGTATGAAATTCATTAAAGTTTAGAACCACTTGAGTGTAGATAAGATTTTGTTTTTTGGGTGTCAAATATATAAGCTTATATTTGATGAATAGTCCATTTTTGACTAATCTAGAAGCAAATATTGTTTTCTTGTAGTACAAGTATTTTGTCTTGATAAACTGCGGGGCAAACGTGGACCTGCTGGAGACCCTTCAGCCTGAGGAAGACTCTGTTTTCTTTATCTGTGATACCCACAGACCTGTTGATGTGGTCAACGTCTACAATGACAGTCAGGTACAAATGTTTATCACCTTATTAACTCTGAAGGCCACTTCATGCCATGCACGATAACTAGACTGATAAGGATATAGTTCTAAAAATGACTCACAGTGTTAAAGAATAGCATAGTTTATACCACAATTACAAAGAAAAGAGTATTATTTTGACCATAACTTTTTTAGTGTTTCAGCTAGCAGAATGATTTTGGTGGCAAATTTTATTTTGACACATATTTTGGGAAAATGCTTTGAAAATGTTAAAAAAAAAAATCAATACATTCTGGGCTTTTATTGCCAATTTATGAATGGTGTCACTGATTTGGTGAAAAAACACATAAAATGACTTCTTTTTAAATATAAATGTAATAGTGAACTGAATTTTTTTGTACCTTTTATCACAGTCTTGAATCTGTGAAAGATTAGTTGCTTTTGATTCATTGTTAGTGTTTGTGCAGCATAAGGTTTAATTTTTTTCTCTCCCTAATTTTCTGTTTGTTGCCGTTTTTGCTCCATTGACTTCCATTATAGACACATTTTTTTGATTACAAAACCATGACATCATATAATCATGCATTCTTGATTGTTGGTGGTTTTCCTTGTTGGGAAGAGGTCAAGTTGTCATTTTTACTGTTGATTATCAGTTTGCACCATTAACCCATCATGTTATGCAGATGACACTCAAATTTACCTGCCTTTAAAACCGAGTTTAAGTGGATTGGAGACTCTTATGTCTTGCCTGTCGGACGTGAAAGCCTGGTTATCTTTGAACTTTCTAGATTTTAATGAGAGCAAAACTGAAACAGTTGTGTTTGGCTCGTCAAATTATTCTAGGATATCACCAGCTGATCTTGGTGAATTAGGGTTGTCTGTGAAGCCTTGTGTAAAAAATCTGGGTGTTGATGATGGCTTAAGATTTGATAAATAGATTAACGCGGTGGCTTTTTTCAGCTTCGACTTTTAAAAACAGTCAAACCTCATGGCCCATGGCCAGCGTGTGAGATGCTCGGGACAGTAGACAGGATCGTTACTGGCCCGATTGGCCAACTGATGCGCTGTCACTAAAGTTTAATTGGCCTGTAACTATTTGTCAATTGCGTACAGTCAGAATCAAGAAGCCGTTTGTGTTGTCAAGCCTTCAAATGCTACCCTCTCGGTTCCTCTTATCTGATTGGATGTTGTGAGCATGTTATTTTTTTTTTTTGTAACAACCAGTACAGCGAAGAGACAGCAACATGGCGGCAACATCAAGAGATGATGCTAAAGGAAAACATTTGTTTCTACCGTCTTGGAAGCAGACATTTACTAGAGTATACCACGATCAAAAAAATGAAGTGATGTTTGACTTGTCAGTTTGGCAGGTCAGCCATCTTTTGTTTTGCAATAAAAAAGCTTGCACATTTTGCTAATTTTGTTTGCATAAAACTTTGAATTTTGCTCATTATACATTTATTAACATTTTTTCTTATAATTAAATTCTAGATTTACAAACATTTTGACACTTTTTTCAAATCTGTGACTAAGAAATAGCTATTAACATTTTTTGTGGTAGGGCCAGTGAAAATATTGGCAGGGCAAGTAAAAATCTGAACCACTGGTCCGATCAGGCCAGTAGAAAAAATCCTTAGCGTTGAACCCTGAACCTATTTTATCTAGAAAAAAATTAGAAAAAATAATTCATGCTTTAATTACTTCGAGATTGGACTTCTGTAATGCGCTATATTTTGGGATCAGTCAGACAACTCTATCCCGCCTACAGTTAGTTCAAAATGCTGCTGCAAGGCTTTTAACCAGCACCAAAAAATATGACCACATCACACCAGTTCTGCGCTCTCTGCACTGGTTGCCTGTGCACTATCGTGTCACTTTTAAAATTCTTCTCCTGGTTTTTAAATCTCTAAACGGCCTAGCTCCTTCCTATCTGTCAGACCTGTTGACTGAACATCAGCCTGGTCGGTCTCTTCGGTCATCTAACCAGAGACTATTATACATTCCAAAGTCGAGGCTGAAATGCAGGGGTGACGGGGCTTTCGCAGTAGCTGGTCCTACTTTGTGGAATGCTCTGCCCCTCTGTATTAGGTCTATATCATCTCTGTCTGTTTTTAAATCTTGGTTGTAAACTTACCTTTTTGATTTGGCATTTTATCAGTAAGAATTGTTCGTTTTTAGCTATAAGAATTATCAGTGAGATTTGTTTGTTTTTTGCTATAATAACTATTAGTGAGAATTGTTTGTTCTAGCTATAATTTTATGTTTGTTCTTCATGGTTTGTATTGTTCAGCACATTAAAAAATCATATATAACTTTAAATAATTTGTTGTGTGAATTCTGTCTATTTTTATTTTATACATTTTTCTAAGAAACTTTTTTAGTGTAATACGAATTAGTTTTTTTATCATGTAATATTTTAATGTATATCCATTTGGCCACGAAATAGCCATAAGTTGCTGATGTGGCAATAAATATGTAATAAATAAATAAATGTTTTGTACATTGGTCAACCTTTGGTTGTGTAAAATAGTGCTATATAAATAAAACTGACATTGACAACCCTTTAGATAGGCCTATTCAAAAGCTTAGCTTCTGGATTTTCTATGGAGTATAACAGTAAATTAAAGTGTGTGTATGTGTGTGACAGTGAGCACTTACCTTGATGCGTCTGAGAAAATCAAAATATGCACTTAAGCTCTCAGAACCACATGGAGTAAACAAAAACAAAGACTGTGCATTTCAAATTGGTTTTACTATGGGAAATAACGTTTAAAAAATACACCGAAATCATGCTGGCAAATTGATGTACAAGAATAATAGTAGCACAGGAATCCAGTGCTTGTTTCAGTGCTGGGGAACTGACTATGATTGCTAAACTGACTGTTTGATAAGATTGGTTACACGTCGTCACCAGCTCAATAGTATGTTCAGATGCGCTAGTAGCACACTGAGGAAATGTTCTTGTTACAAGGGATAATGCAGTATTAAAAGCATAATCTAAAAAAACAGATCATTATCGTTTACCTGTGTGGACACAAAAATATTAATTGTTGTAATTATATTTATCGTTATCGTGGTTGGTGTAAACGGGCCTTAAGGTGTCTTGTTATGCATATGCTGTTAATACGTTTTTTTTTTCTTGACCTCCAATAGATTAAACTCCTCATCAAACAAGATGATGACCTTGGCGTTCCGTCCTATGATGACATCTTTCGTGATGATGAGGAGGACGAAGAAGCAGATGGTGATGACTCTGGAAATGAAAGCGATGGAAGTGCAGAGCCTTCTGGGAAACGGAGGCGCTTTGATGAGGCACATTATTATAACTTCTACTCACATTACGAGCTAAATTCTTTCCATTCAGATTTTCTAATGAATGCATTTACTCTTCAGGATGCGTTGGAGAGAAGAATAGAACGACAGCGGGCCAGACGGGAATGGGAAGCTCGAAGGTCATTGGTTATATACGTAACCATCAGTACAATTTAGTGACTTGTGATGACATTTTTGTTTATGCTGAAGTGTGTGTGTGTTTATGTTTGCAGGAGAGAGATTCTCTTTGACTATGAGCAGTACGAGTTTCATGGAACATCAGTGAGTAATAATTGATCTTTTATAAATATTTCTGATCTTATGCAGAACATGGGTTTGTAAAATTCATAAACCATGTCATTTGGTGACTATTTACAACTGGTATCCAGTAGCTAATAGCTAGCTAGGGCCAGACAGAATCTGCGGACATTTTTGCTCTTTCTGCACAGAATTTTGTAAAAAATCTGCAAATTTATGCTGAATGACTTTGGGAGTATCATAACTAAAAACTTATATATAACTTCTATAAAATATATGAAAAAAAAACCTATTATGAATACACATTAAATAATACTAAATATTTAATGTGAAAAATATAAACTGCATATAATTCTGTTTGAGATTTTAGGTTGTATTTTAGGACATTTTAAAGACCAGATTTGATCAAATGATTTTTACCATTTGACGTATTGGACATACGAGAAAAACCCGTGTTTTTTTTCCCTCAAAGGTGAAGACTCAGTGTTTGTGCTGCACAATTGTTCTCATCATAAAACACATTTTACTGGACTCTCCTGCTTTTAATGATTTCAGACTACTTTTTATGAAATGAAGGACATTTTTAGTAAAATGACACCAGGAAAGATTTTCTAATATTCTAATCGTATATTAGCACTAAAAATCGTTTTTAATTTATTTAATTTATTTGGTTATTTGATTTTTAATAGTATATTTATTATTTAAATATTCTTGCCTTGAAAATAGCCTTGGTTGCCCGAGATGGCAATAAATAAATAAATAAATAAAAAATTTATTTAATGTTTACAATGCAAAACTAATTAGATCCACTTATTTGGTGAACAAAGCAAGTCTCTCATATAATACATCTACTAAAAGACAAAAAATATGACTTTACAAACTGTATTGTAAATAAATCATATAAGCATTTGAAACTATCAAACCTCTTCAGCTGCTTCAGAACGCAGCAGCACGAGTGGTCTTTAATGAACCTAAAAGAGCACATGTCACTCTGCTGCTCATCCGTTTGCACTGGCTGCCAGTTGCTGCTCGCATCAAATTCAAAGCTCTGATGTTTGCCTACAAAGCGACTTCTGGCTTTGCTCCTTCTTATCTGCTCTCACTTCTGCAGATTTATGTGCCCTTTAGAAACTTGCGTTCTGTGAATGAACATCGCCTCGTGGTTCCGTCCCTAAAAGGGAAGAAATCACTTTCCCGAACTCTCGCACTCAATCTGCCCAGTTGGTGGAATGAACTCACTAACTGCATCAGAACGGCAGATTCACTCGCTGTCTTCAAGAAACAATTAAAAACTCAACTATTTAGTCTCCACTTCCCTTCCACTTCCCTTCCTAATCTGCAATTGCCTCTCTGGCTATACCACTAACTGTACTCAAAAAAAAAATTACTAATGCTTTGCTTCTTAAACTTTACACACCTAAAGCTTGCCTACAGCACTTATTCATTGTTGCTCTTAAAGTTGTGTAAATTGCTTCCTTGTCCTCAATTGTAAGTCGCTTTGGACAAAAGCATCTGCTAAATGTAAATGTTAACTTTTTCATATTAGTCAATAATATTATTGAAACTTAATTGAAAAACTGAACCAATACAAATGTACACACATTGACACAAGTAATGACTCAGCGATGGGCAAAAAATCTGCAGGTTTTTATGCACACAGATTTCTTGTGGGCCTACTTATGGCTCATGCTCGCATTATTGTGTGTAAATAACATGCAAGAGACTGAACGAGATTCGGTAACGCAATGTACACACAAATAAAAAATCAATGCAAATTATTTCCCTTGCTTTGATTAGAAAGAAAATAGACGTCAGAAATAACTTTGCAGAGATATGATGATACTGAACATACTAATGTGACTTCATTAGATGTATTTAAATATGTTTTAATGGTTACTTAGTAAAGTTGAGGGATATAGCAAAACAATGACAGTATATCAGTATTTATTAAGTCTTTTACAATCTTCAAATTTCTGTGCTTATGTTTAATTTTTCGTCCTTTTATTTTAAGCTAAATGCTTAACAAATGTGTTTTTAAATGGCAATAGTTTGTTGTCATTTGACAGGGCTTGAATTTTAGGTTAGAAAGGCAGAAATCATGTTTTGGCTTAAGGTAAATTTTAAAGAGACTGTGCACCCAAATATGTAAATTTTATAGCATTTTACTCTCCATTCATTTGATTTAAAGCTGTTTTAATTACTTTAATTCTAAACATACTTTGAAAATGCAGGAGGCCAGGTTTGAGCTAATTAAAGGGTTTGTAAAAAGTATAAGTTATTTGTGCTGTTTAATTTAAAGAAATTAAACTGCACAATCCGCAAGTTTCAGGGCAGTTGCAATCAATGAATCCTGCACATTTATGCCAAGCAATTCTTTATAATGTCGTTTTGATAATTGGTGAATATTAATGTTTACTTTTTGCCATTTTAGTTTGTACTATGTCAAGTAAAACAATTCAAACTTGCAAATACCCAGGTTCGCAGTCTGTTCAAGTAAAATAATTTGATATGCATGCATGATTTATTTTAGATTGCACATGTTTGTTCTTTATGAAAATACAGGGTGTGCAATTTGTATGGATACACCTTAATAAAATGGGAATGGTTTGTGACATTAACGTCCTGTTTGTGGCACATTAGTGCAGCACCTAAAACTACGGATACTGAAAGCCTGTGCTGGCATTTCTCCTGCTGTGTTGTTATCAGTGTGGGAAGAGTGGGAGAAGAGGGTTGCATTGACAATCCAACACAATGGACAGCACATTGAACAAGTTTTATAAGTGGTCAGAAACTAGTAAATAACTAATGAAAGAATAAAGTGACGTTAAAACCAATTTCTTGTGAAATTCCCAATAAGTTTGATGTGTCATGACCCTCTTTCTATTGAAAAAACAAAAGTGTGATCCAAGATGGCCGACTTCAAAAAGGCCACCATGATCACCACCCATCTTGAAAAGTTTGCCCCCTAACATATACTAATGTGCCACAAAACAGGACGTTAATATCACCAACCATTCCCATTTTATTAAGGTGTATCCATATAAATGGCCCACCCTGTATATTGTGAAAGTGTCAAATCTTACAATTTGACTTATATCCTGGACATGCTAATCTAATATATGTAAATATTTAATTAATTCAACCTGTACATTATCACAGTGTTTCTCAACTGGTGGGTCACGACCCAAAAGTGGGTCACGGGAACATTTTCAGTGGGTCGCGGAGTGTGTGATAAAAAAACATCAAAAGTTTAATTTTTAACTTATTTTGACTTTTATTTTGAAATGCATGCACGACAACCGTACCGTTTGACATGTGAAATTTCATTTAAATATAGCAACAAATATGTCAGAGTGCAAGTACGAACCTGAATATGTAAGGTATGGATTTACATATATTGACGATAAAAAAGTTATAGGTCATTATAGTTATGACAATAAAAGTCATAAGTAGCGAGGTGCTCTCCTCTCACAAGAGAGCATGAAACCTTCTAAATTAAAATGACATTTAGAAACCAGACAACATGTTTTATTACCAGTTCAGTTTAGTTCATGCTAACTGAACCTTTCTTTACCCTAACCACTGCTTACAGTATTTGTCGTTTTTAATTTGTAATATTTCCATATTTTGACACATTTTGTTAAATGACAGCAATAAAATATAGTTTATTTGTAAGTCTTGGTGATTTTCTTATGATTTATCTCTCACTACTTGTGTATGGTAACAAATAAATACAGACTAATTATAATTCCTAAAATTGTATTATAATTTCTAAAAATTTGGGTCGCGGCTTGATGACTATGTAAAAATGTGGGTCCTATGGTCAAACCAGTTGAGAACCCCTGCATTATCACACGTCATAAAAAGAAATAATAAATCATTTAGCAGAATTAGCACTTCTGCTTTGTGTAGATGCAGGACTTTTCAATTAAACCTGTTTGTTCTGATATCTACAGGCAGCGTTGGTGATGTTTGAACTGGCCTGGGTCATGTCTAAAGACACCAAAGACATGCTGTGGTGAGCTGCTTATTTTACATTACCTTTATCAAGTTGATGTATTGCCATATAGATGTGATTTCTAAACTGAAATCTGATGTTTGGCAGGTGGAGTATCATTGGACTGACAGATCAATGGGTGCATGATAAAATCCCACAGTAAGAATCTCACTCTTTACTGCCAACAGCGAAATTTTTTTGACTTTTGAAACAGTATGTTTTATAGTAATGTGTTTTTTTCTTATACAGCATGAAATATGTGACAGACATTGCGACTCTACAGCGCCATGTGTCCCGACACAACCATAAAAATGAAGATGAGGAGAATTCACTGTCCATCGACTGCATGAGGATCAATTTCGAATACGAGTATCCTACCCTGCATGATATTTAAATTAAGTTTGTGCTGCAAAATGATGTTAAAAGTAGAGCCGTGGTGAGAAATTGATTGTGTATTGATTCAGATATTCTTCAAAATGCATTGCTGTTTTTTTTTTTTTTTTAAATCATTTGACCCTTCGCTAAGTCATGCCCAAAAACCGCCACCCACCAATCGTGGCTAAGCAACTGTAGCTTCTCGCAGGGGCTCTGTCAAGCTTTCGAGCGAGTGCATATGGATTGTGCAAATCTGATTCCCGGTATCCTTAAAGTTTGGACGGGATGGTGGAATTTTTTTTTCCTTTTCAAAACCAAAAACCCAAGAGGAGAAATGCCAGCGTGGCTCAAGCTGTGTGAGGGGCGCTAAAGGAGCGGAGGATATTCCTGACACATTCAGTGATAGAGTGAGGGCAGTAACTCACACCTCTTACCTTTAAACAGTTCTAAAATGTGTTTCCTACAAAAACACAAAGCTGGTTATGTTTCATAGCTGTCATATTCCTTTTTTTCGCTTAATATTGAGCAATGCTCCATTTAAGCCTTCACCATAACAGTAGTAACGTTAGTCATACTAATAGCTAATAGGTCATGATGACGTGAGTTATTGATCTGGAAAATATGAATCTGTGAATCTGTTGCTAACTTTACTGAACTTCATATTTCCATCTATATCAAGCTACGAATATTTAAAATTACAAATCAACAGAACAAAACCTTGATATGATCACAAACTGAGCAGCTGCGATCACTATACTTTACCAGCAGCTTCAGTCATTTATAAAGAGCACACAAACATACAGACAGTAATAGGTAACTTACTGTGCATGGTTATGGGTCAATGATGCTAATATTCGGCCCAAATCCATCAGTTTTCCTTTCTGGCAGCTCTTTCTATGAATGAACTAGCACTGTCATGCGTGTTTCCTCGTCGGTTAGTAACGCTATGTTTATATTATTAGATTATTTTTAAATTTCACCTATCCTGCTGTGCATGAACTAAGCTGTTGATTGATCAGCGTATGAAGCGGCTAGGCTAAGCTAGCTTCAATTTTGATTGATTTATTCTCTTATCGGTTGCCTATTATGTGGTGAATATACCCCTGTAATGCAGGGGTAGTCCTTTTTAAGTCCTTTTTTGTCTGGCTTTCTCGGATATCTCACCTGTTCACCAAAAATGACATTATATCCCTGGCAATGTCTGACACACACATTGAAAAACCATGCCAGGCACGAAAGTTTGACAGGCGTAGCAACAGTAACTAAGGAGGGCGGGGCTTAGCGAAGGGTCCATTCTGAGCTTGGAGTTTAACAGCAGATGGTGCTGCAGTATGCTGGTTTTTAACCATATGCTCAAAAAAAAAACCTTCATAAACTCTCCTACCTTTGGGACCAGATTGTTTTACCCACTGTATAATCGGTCACTCCAGGATGAAGTTTTTAATATTTGGATAAGATCCTCCCACATGCACTATTTATAAAAGCAGTTTAACGTTCAAGCATGTTTTATTAGATAGTGTCGGCTTTAATTTTGTAAGGAATTTATTTTATTCAGTTTATACTCGAGTCTTGCGCTCTTACGCCGGCTGCCTGCGTATTTTAGAATTGAGTTTAAAATGTAACTTTGCTTTTAAATCTCTGAACGGTACGACTCCTGGTACCTCTGTCAGCTACTGACTTCAGCTTACCAGATCCCTTCAGTCTTCCAGTCAGATGTGCTGTGTATCCCCAAATCAAAACTTAAATGTAGGGGAGATTGTGCTTTCTGTATTGCAGCACCCAGGCTTTAGGACGCCTTACCGCCATCAATGAGACAAGCAACTTATTGCTGTTAGGAGGTGTGATTGTTATTCTTATTCTCACCTCCCATTGTCTGTCTCCTTTCTGTTTATTGGTTGGAAAGTTAAAATTGTGCTAAATAAATTAAAATTATCAATGCCATTTTGATCAGATTTTAACGCTTTTAATCCCAAAACAGTGTTTTTAGCTAAAATAAATGATAAAAATTCTAAATAAATTGCAAAACGCAGTGTATTTGGAGTATAATTTTTTTATAGAAACTGGAAACCAGCCTGGTGTTAAACACACACAAACAAATAATTAACAATTATTTTAGGTTCAAGTGTTAGTGTTATGTTCCGTCTTTCCGATGAGATGTTAAACTAAGGTTCTGACTCCCTGTGGTCATCCCATGGCAATTCTCATAAAGAGTAGGGGTTTGACCCCGGTGTCCTGGCCAAAAGTCCCTCAATCGGCACTTACCTAATCATGGCCTCCCAATCATCCTCATTCACCGAATTGGCTCTATCACTGTCTCTTCACTCCACCAATAACTGGTGTGTGGTAAGCGCAGTGGTGCTGTTGTCCTGTGGCTGCCGTTGCATCATCCAAGTGGATCATGCACACTGGTAGGGGTGTGGAGAACCCCCCCCCCATGATTAGGAAGCTCTTTGGATGTATGGCCATACACAATAAATGCGCTATATAAATACACATTACAAGTGGTATTTGTAAGGAATTAGATGCAAGCAGAGTATGGCTATTTGGTTTCATGTTATGAAAAGTGCAGAATTGACTTTCTCGAACAATTTTTCATCAAAGTGAGCTTACTGCACTGTAACTTTTTTTTTTCAAAGCTAAATCAGGATGTCTGCATGGTCTTAAAGTCTAAAAATGTCTTCAATTTCAAAAACTATATTAAAGGCCTTAAAGTCTTTAATTCACTGAAATACGCCGTTATATGTCTTAAATACTTTTAAACAAGTCCTAATTTTCCTTTGTCCACATAAAGCTACCCAATCCGTACAACTAACAAATCCATGTAAACAAAAAAAGTTTAAAGTCAAATTTATTAACTATTTAGAATATGATTTAATTTTATTCTTAACATCCTTACAAAAGTGTTTGTTTAAAAGATCTCCATGTATTTATCTTTAAAAGTTTTTAAGTTATAAGTTTATTATAGCTTTTTAGAAAAGGTATGTGTTATGCTAATAAAAATATATATAATATATAAATAGCAAGAGCTTGCTTGTTTTGATGCATTATTTAAAATATATGGCTGAGAAATAACTAAATTTCAATTTTAATGGGGCAAGTAAAAAAAAAAATACTGGCCATTACAAAAATCCATATCCAATCCATAGCATTTTGTAAATACATTTGACATGATGAAGCCTGCAGAAACCTTGTTCATTGTTTCAGAAGCTCATGTGTGTGCTTGATTTGCATATGCTGGACATAAATGCATCTCATTTTGTGTAAAAAATGTCTAAGTCTTTGCATTAGCATGTCTAAGTCTTTGCATCATGCTTTTACATAAGGAGTTTTAGGCAAAGAGATGATGCTGTAATCATAAGTGGCGTGTGATTTGTGAACATGCATGCGTGTTTAACCCTTGACCGTGATTGTCAGTCTGAGGTTGGTGTTGTATCAGCACTGGTCTCTGTACGAGAGCATCTGTAACTCCTGCTACACCTCCTGTAGCTTTAAACTGTGGTCAATCAATGGACAGAAGAAACTTCAAGAATTCCTGGCAGACATGGGGTGAGTGGACCGGTCTTAGACCCTCTATTTGCCTGGTATTTAAATTAATCTTTTGTGACGACTTGTGTTAGGATTTCATCGAGACCCTCCTCTCTTACTTTGAATGAAATGTGGATGTCAGCTGCGATTTCTGAATAAATAATACATGTGGCAGCATCTATTTCATCATTAGGTGTTTTTTTTGTTAAACGTTTTTTACAAAGCTGTTTAGATGCATTAACTACGAAAGGAATTGATTACCTTTGGAAGTGATAAAAAAATGTCACCACTTTTTTGTCATTTACCATATGTGATAGGTAGGGCCAGATGGAATCTGCAGACGTTTTTTGCTATTTCTGCTGAGAATTTTAGTAAAATCTGCAGATTTCTGCAGAATTATTTTGGTATTAGAACTAAAACCTTAATATGTGAAAAAAAATTGCTTTTTAACTTTTATTTAATGTTTAAAATGCAAATCCAATTAGATTCACTTTATTTGGTAAACAAAGCAAGTCTCTCATGTAATATATCTACTGAAAGACAGAAAACATTACTGTACAAACTGCATTGTACATAAATCAGATGAACATTTACATATTAGACAATAATATTACTATAATTAATTGAATAACTGAATATATATAGATTTACACAAATTTGCTCAAGTAAATAAACAGAATTAATGATGGGCTAAAAATCCGCAGAAAATCTGGCGCGCAGATTCCGTGTGGGCCTGGTGATAGGGCTTGGCCAATAAGCGATATTATGTCAAATGTTAAGATAACAATAAGCTCTGGACTTTCTTACTCTGTATTGATCTAAGAGCCAGTCACACTGCAGAAATATGCAACAATGGGAATCTAGAAGTGTGTTAGAGATGCTCTGAATTTTTGCCCGCCGAAAATTGTCGGACAGCGAAAATAGATTGTTATTTAATGGACCCACTAATTTTTAGCTTCAGTCATTGTTGGGGTACTCTTTTAAATCTTGAAGCAACACAATAATATAACAACTGATATACATATAAAATATATATCGTTATTGTTCAATATGGAAAAGAATTAATGGAGATTGCATTTTTGCCATATTCAGGGGTGATAGCGTTCCGGCACCACGCCGGATTTCCGGCGTACTGTGGCTGCGGGGGGGGAAAAAAATCAGGTTCACGGATATTGATCTGTCATTTCTCTAGATTCACAGAATTCACTCACTGCTGAAAGCGGCGGATTGGTTTTTATTAAGTGCCATTTTGTGTGCTCGTGAATCATCTTTTGAGTGTAGACGCCATGTAAATAAAAGATTAATTGTGTAATTTAGAGAGCTTTATAAATTATAATGGATCTTTGTGAGATCTCTATGAACTAAGATTAGTGACGCTTTTTAGTGATAATAAGAGGAGCGTGCTTTGCACTTTCCAGGCTATAATCCATTCAGAATTTGTATGAAACTTTCGTTTTCGGCACATATACGCGGATATGTTTTGGGAATGACATCTGCATATTTACGCTGGGATTATTCTCGAAATAACGGTGAAGCAATAGACGGGACAAAAATATATTTCCCCCTTCTCCTTAAACAACTTAGTGTTTCAGCTATGAAATAGTTCAGTTTTGTATGTAGCCTAATGGCAAAGTGTTTATATTTAGTTTCGTTTTTTTATTATTTAGAAAAACGCTTATTTAGAAAAACGTTTGGAGCATTTTTTATTCGTTAAAAATACGTTTTTTTAACGAACAGCGCCCAGCGGAAGACCATCATTGTCTGTTTGATCAGTTTGCCTTCTCAGATCATCACGACTTGCCTAAAATAAAAGATATAAAACAGTTCAAGTATAAAACAATGGTAGCTTAAACGTTAAAGAATGTGTGCTATTAGGCGCATAGTTTGCTTATAAAAAGCTTGCAGGACATCGAGGCGCCAGAGCAATCACTTGCATTTTTTCAGTGGGAGCAATTTAAAGTTATCCGTCATTTTTGCTCACAAAGTACGAGTAATACATCAAAAAACATTACAGCGTTTTTATAAAATAAAGAAAACCAAAATTATGCGCTTTCTGTCGTCTGGTTTTTGAACAGGAGCGCTTAACAAACTGAAGCAAAATATAGCCTATATGCCTCACAGACATAATAAATATATTTATAGAAAGCTTTAAATTATTACTTAACGAAATAAAACAAATCGAAAACAAAAAAACTCCTTCATGTAATCCGTAAAGATGAATTTCTTTCTAAAGGCGAGTCCAAGAGGAGATTGCCAGTCAGGATATTTGCGACACTGACTCAGAATAAGTAAATAATAAATTAAAATAATAAATAATAAAATAAAAAAATAAAAAATAAAATAATAAATAAATAATTAAGATATGTCCTTACTCTTTCCTCGACACATTCATTGTTATTTGTTTTTGCCGGTGCTTGGGGCGAGTTTTAGCTTATTGTGTGCGCTTGAACGCGGATTCACAGTAGCAGTTTTAACATGGAGTGACACGACATCTGACGTACAGATGACACTGGCACAGTCCGGTTTTCCACTGTCATGTGTCACTCGCTAGTGGCATGTGTAGTGACCTGTGTCACTCAGAGTGTCGCGCTGCATGTCACTGCAGTGACATCGACACCCGGCGAAGCTTATGACATTAATTAACACGAGCAAAACCATATTTAATCATTACGCGACTTTTAACCTAATTTATCGCGTCGCAAGTTTATTTGCTGAGCTACTCCACGATGTTTTAATTTAAACGCATTTATTTCATGTATTCGTAGTCATACTTCTGTACGTAATATAGTCATTTGACAGTACATGTCAGTCAAATTTATTGTGGCATGCTTATGTATGGGAGGGGTTACACTTATCTGTTGTACTGTATATTATTGCATCCTGGCAGTTCCTTTGTTCCCTACAATATGGACTTCTCTATGTTTTTAATTCATTCATTTATTTTATTATTTTAACTTATTTTAATTTTAAGGTATTTTAAATAATATCCTTTAAAAAGTTATAATAAAATGCATGTTGAAAACTCATAACATATATGCATGTAAGATAACAGGTGTCATTTGCCTAATGATTTTTAAATATTAAAGCAAAGAGACTTATAAGATTAATGTGCTTATAACGTGCTTATACTGACACCTACTGGCACATGTCACAAGATCACTGACACTGGCATGTGTCACTGACATTACTGGCATGTGTCACTGACATTACTGGCATGTGTCACTGACATTACTGGCGTGTGTCACTGACGTTACTGGCATGTGTCTAAAAAGAGCCACTTGACAATAATGATGATCAGGGTTACAGATAGGCTGTTAATATATTTGGGCCCAGGGGGCCACAAGTTATGTGTTAAAAGTGCGTTGCATACATAGTACCCCCACCCCTACTCACCTCAGGGGCAAGGAAAAAAAGTTCAGGCTCAGGAATTTTTTCCACTATCAGCCCTGCATATTGCTTAGCTCTAATTTTTGATCATATTGACAAACATTTTCGTTTTAATTTATGACGTTTTTTTAACGTGGCTTTATTTTTATTTTTTTTCCAAATGTGGTTAGAATGAAAACTACACATTTCATACATGATGCAGGATGTTTATTAATCAGCCTTTAGTGTGTAATTTGTATTAGTTTATTACAAATGTTTTGTTTAAAGCATGCATTGTGATTTTCAAATAAAATCATGTCTTTTGGCAGCTCCTTTACAGGATTAAGAATATAACAACGATGTTTAATATAAATAAATTATTTATAATATTTAATATTAATATTTGGTTCAGTGTTTCATATCAGTTCATTTAATTCATGAAATGAGATTTTATTTATAAAATTAATTTACTTAGTCTTTTTCCTCTTTAGTCTTCCATTAAAGCAGGTGCGGCAGAAGTTTAACTCGATGGATATGACTATTAAGGAGAACCTGCGTGAAGTGATTGAGGAATCGGCTACTAAATTTGGGTGAGAAAGAATAGGATGGAAGGTTGCATTTGCAGTAGTCAGGTAGTATATTTTTGTGTTTATTCATTGACCTTTTGACCGATTGACTATCTCCTTCTCACTGTAGTATGAAAGACATCCGTGTTCAGACGTTCGGTGTGCACTTTGGCTTTAAGAACCGTTTCCTGGCTAGTGATGTAGTTCATGCTGCTGCCGCCCTGTTGGAGAACGTAGAGAAAGATGAAACGCCAACAGACAACTTCATCAAAGCTCTGGACTGTCTGTCTAGGTATGAAGATTTAAAGGAGTCCAATTATGCTTTTAGTCTTTTAATAAAATCAAAAAAGTCAAAGGGAATCTAATTAAGGCCCAATCCCAATTCTATTTTTGTATCCTTACCCCTTCCCCTTGGCCCTTACAACCGAGGGTTAAGGGGAAGAGCTTCAAAATTTACCCCTAAGAATTGGGACATCACTACAGCACCTGTACACGTCATCATATGTCCTCGCGATCTCCAGCTTCTCCTGTGAGATCAGACGATGGCAACTGCTGTAGTGATTCCAGTTGTGTTATTTTTTGGTATTTATCTTCAGGAGATCACTGAAGGCATATATTATGTTATCATAACGATAGTGTGGCAATAAGATCGTAACTTTACTGTGTATTTAAACAGTGGTCATATTCATCAATGTAAACACACCAAAAACAACATTGACATTATAGCAGACACTGTAAAAAGCCCATTGACAGCCACTAGACATTACTGACAGGGTATTTGAGTGTCAGAATGCTGTTGGACTGCTGTACAGGAGTTTTTTAATAGGGATTATAAATCGCGAAATTTAGCGTTTTTCTTTAACTTTTTTTTTTTTTTTTTTAAAGCATCATGGTTAAACACGAATGCGGTTATGAATATATTAAAACGTGTTTGTTTGTCGTAAAAATTCGTAATAATGACAAAAAACACTAATTTGTGGATCTCCTTACTTCCGGGTTCAGCAACACTGCTGCTGTGGCTGGTGCATTGTGGGAAATTTTCTTACCCCTTGGTTTCAAGTGTGGTCCTGAAAAATCTTTGTTCGAAGGGCTATTCACCCCTTCCCCTTAGCCATACGCCTTCAAGCTAAAGAGAATTGAGACACCCCTACCCCTTGGCGTGCACGTGCAAAACGAGGGATAGGGGTAAGGGGAAGGGCTAAGGGGTAGAATTGGGATTGGGCCTAAATGTATCTTAATTTCGGGAACACTTTAGAATAATGGTCCATTAGTTAATGTATTTACTAACATTAAGTTTAAATAATCTTGTAAAGCAATTATTAGTCATAGTTTGATATTTACTAATGCATAATTCAAATCCAAAGTTGTGCTTGTTAACATTTAATATACTGCGTTGACTTGAACTATTGTAATTTACCATTAACAAAGATGAGAAAATACAGTAATAAATGCATTACTAACTGTTTGTTCATGTTAGTAAATATATTAACTAGTGGACCATTATTCTAAAGTGTTGACTTTTTATTTATATAGGGATTTTTACAATGTAGATTGTGTCAAAGCAGCTTAACATAGATGAAGAATAGAGAATAAAATGCCATAGCTTGTCAGATTGTGGGTTATACCAGCAAATCAGGCCGGTAGGAGAGTAGTGGTACAATGCTGATGTAGTTCTGGTTTCTGTCAGGTTTTCTCCATAACTTTTCTTACTTTGATTTGTGTTGTGTGTGTGTCTGCAGGAGTAATCTGGAGCGTCTGCATTTAGGCATTGATCTGGCCAAGAAGAAGCTGAAGGCCATTCAGCAGACGGTGGCGAGCTGCATCTGCACAAACCTCATATTGTCACAGGGGCCTTTTCTCTACTGCCATTTACTGGAGGTACCATCACTTCTAATATCTTTGGTGCTTGTTTATGGAACCAAGCACAATTCCAGTCAGTGCTTGTTTGACTCTGTTGTTGATTTTGTGGGGTTTGCCAGTTTTGCAAGTTTGCAGCTGAGCATCATAGGAGTTTGTAAAATGCAAATGAAAAACAAATGTGTAATTCAAATAAATATATCCAATATTAAATCAAAAATATTGCTTAAACAATGAAATATGACAATTAATAAACTATTTATTCTGGGAGTTAAAATGAAAGACTAAAAATTAGGCATTAAATTATTAATACTACTGCTATAATCAAACACTCATCATCACTCGGATATTACTATAATATTAATATTGTGTTAAAGTTTAGTAAATTGTATAAATAATTAATAATATGCCTAGCTCTATTTTGTTTGTATTATTATTTACATGTTGTTGTTGTTGTTGTTGGGAAAAGGATTTTACTTGGTTATTTCCAGGTTTGAAACAAAGTGTTTTGTGTGTGTTTGCAGGGAACACCAGATGTGAAGCTGTTTTCTAAACCCCTGTCTCTGACTCTGCTCTCCAAATACCTGCTCAAAGCCTTCGTCTGCTCCGTGAGTACATAAGTGGACCAATAATGCTGAATAGGTGATTTATTTGTCTATGGAGTTTCAGCACAGTCACACAAGGATGCCAAGACACAGATTGTTCATCCTAAAGGGCTCTATTTTTGTGCTTTTAGAAGAGGTAAAATAATCTTTTGTGTCTGTGAGGTTTCAGGTCAGAATAGCCATCAGATCATTCATTGTACCCTGTTGAATGTGTACATTTTGGGTCAGAAGGTATTGTAGTTGTTTTTG